ACAGAAAAGGTTTATTTACCTGCAACGTTTCGTTTGCAGCTGCAAACATCAGGCTGACTCAGATGGTAGCGTCACTTCCTTCGTTTATCTGCGGGCAGCAGAGGACGTTGTCACCCTCTGCTGCACCTCTCCCCTCTCCAATGATGCAGTCCCATGTGTGATCCAATGAGTAAACTCAATCCTCCCTGTTCATGGTCTCACATCACAGAGGGCATCGATGCAGCAACGTGACATAATGAGATTTTCTCCCTATGACTATGTCTATGCAGGACAATAAAGTTTTGAGGTTTTATAATTACTTCTGGGGGTAGAGTTGCAATGACATGCGCACTGCATTGCCCTAGCGCCAATTTAAAACAGAAAAGGTGGACAGGGATACAGGGCGAACATTACCAGTAATCAAAGATGTACCCATTACATTTAAATCGGATGTCTGGGCTAATTTCGGTTTTGGTATCCTGGATGTGAAAGAATCACTTAACACAGTATTTGTTTACTATTTCTAAGTTCAGTAGTATTCTATCTTAAAGCTGCTCTACCGAAAACATTATTTCTTATATTATTTAAGTAATTATAGGCAGCACACTTTAAAAATTATTGCTCACTATAGTGAATAGATGAATGTTCTGTTTTTCAGAGATTTCGAAATCAAAAAGAAATTGAAAACTATTCTACTGCTTTTATTAAGTAATGAAAATTTTTGTGTGAAGAATCGTGATGCATTTCAGACTCAAATCGAATCTTTAGGCAGATAATCGGATCGAATCGTGAGGCAGGTAGAGATGCACACCACTAGTAGGCCGACGGAATGGCGTTGAATGTGTTTATGAATCTCCTAACCAAAGCTTAGTGCGAAGACCTCACCTTCACTTCTCACCAGAACTAATCGTTTCTTCGGATTTGCTGGTTCTGAGCAACATTCCACACTACACCATTCTCCGTCTCGTTCACCTTGGTTACACCATACATTTAGTGTTTAAGTTAGTCTGGTTTTAATTTGTTTAGTAATAAATCTTTAAACTTTTAAAACTTGACTCTCTCTTCTGTTGTCTCTGAATTAATACGAGGTTGTTATCTAATCCCTGCAATAAAAAGTTCCAATCTTCTGGTTAAACAGTACCCACAGATCCATAAGGGTGATTTCGTATTTCCTATGGAATCTTATGGCTTATTAAATAACATGTAAATTAAACCATTACAGTGTTTTAAAAAGAACTGAAAGATGGAAAGGGAAAGCTGTTGTTGGTTTAGCGTCCAGGAAACGGCAGAGAACGTGTCGGCTAGTAGAAGCTAACTGTTAGCATTAGCAACTCCACCACACAGCAGAACACCTCCAGGCTTGTGTTATTTGTGGTAGTAAAAAAATGTTGCAGAGTAAACAGAGTCAGTGGTAGAGTCATGTTGCCGTTAGCCAATCAGAGGAGAGATATCTAGATATCAGAAAATAAGACTCCAAATCCTGCGTCTGAAGCTCAGATCTGATGTAGTATTTTTCTAATTCCTAAAACTGGTGCATCAGTGTCCCCCCCCCCCCAGAGTACGACTTGGAAGGCATTCGTTCCTACTAGAAACCACTGCAAACGTTTCGATTAAAGGTTCCACACCTTTAATCTGGGCAGTGCGGCTGCTGCAGCAGGAGGCTGTGCCTGTAGGTGAAGCTGTAAGCGTGAGGCCTGTTTGTGCTGAGATGACCTTGTGCAGAAAGCCTGTTTCCGCTCTGAAGCAGGGGGATTGATGAATTTCCCGGGCAAACCTGCCTGGACACTTCCTCAGTAGGCGTCCCTCTTGAGTCTATTGTAATGTTGACATTCAAACACTGACCACTGCCAAGTGAGTCGTGTCTATTTAACATAAGACACAAAAGGCTCAGTGTGTGAGATTTTTAATCTGTTTCCTATTTGAACATTTGATCTCTTTCTTACTCAGCGTGGCTCTGAGGATGTTATTTGTCTTTTAAACACAGAGTGACCCTTCACATGGACTCCCTAACTCCTCTGAAGCCGGTTGCCGTCTCTTCTTTAAGGAGTGTGTAAAGCTCTTTCCTTCTGGGTGGATGTTCTCCCTAATGTCCCGCCCTTTCATGGTCTCTCCAGCGTAACTTGTCTATATCTTTCTCCAGTTTCCTGAAGCTTGTCTTTCCTGTTTTAGTATAGCTGCGGTAAACCAGTTAAATGTCCTCCACTAAAAGCACTGCTAGACATCTTTGACATCATCCCTTTTGTGTAGAGCCACCTATTCTGATCCGTCCCTGGTGTCCGCCAGCTGCTGCATGCTAGACAACAATAATGCAGATAACAATGATTATAAGTGTTGGTGGCTCGGAGTGGCTGACAGTAATTACAGGATGCTCGGGCTGCTGATCGTCATTTTAAACAGGCTGAAGTTACGAGGGTGACAAGCGGAACGTAAGGGCTCATAAAGTGGATTCATGGTCACAATGCTTCTGATGTTCAGAAATAACTTAACATGAACGCATCTCACCGCTCAGCATTAATTATCACCTTAAAACATCTACACTTCTGTTGGTAGACATGCAACCACTTCCTGCTGCATCATTGAGTCAGTCAGACCACGGAGTTAGAGCAGTGGTTCTCTTCTTTTCTCTCTGATCTTTCAGTTAGTGTGGCTGCTTCAAATCACAGCTCCTGTTCATGTCATCTTTGTTATGGTGTACCTCAGGGTTCTGTTTTAGAGTTCTTACCATTTCTGATTGACATGCTCCCTCTTCAGCACATTTTGAGTCATTTCAAAGATGTTCCATATCACAGCTATGCAGATGACATTCAGCTATATATCTCTTTAAAGCTTTTTGAGGTCACTAAACTGAATGTCTTAGACAGTGTGAGGAGTAGGATGGCTATTGGTTTCCTCCAACCAAGTAAAGAATTGACTAAAATCCTTGTTTTTGTTCCAGAAAAACTTACAACTCTTGATTGGGGTAAATGTTACTGTGGCTTTACCTTAAATGGTCATGTTCAGTCTTTGGTTGACGTTTATACCAGCTTTAACTTTCTGTGTTTTAGTTTGAGATCTATGGATGCAGCTGAGCTTTTTAAAAAACAACTGAAAACTTTTTGATCTCTGCTGTCTTAGGCCCTGTCCACATGTAGCAGGGGATCTGCCAAAACGTAGATATTTTTCTACGTTTTGGCCTGTCATCCACACGAAAACTGAGTTTTTCCCACGAAAACGGATCTTTTTAAAAACTCCGGCCAAAGTGAAGATCTGCGTTTTCGCCGTTTTGGGTGTCTGCGTGTGGACAGACAAAACCGGAGTTTTAAGGTCCGCAACGTCACTTTCCGCGACAAAAAAATGCTGACATCATGTGTGCGACCTGTGTTTACACTAGCCGACAGCATGGATGCCTCAGAGCTGCGCTCGCTTTATCAATTGTCCAAGCGCTTTTTGCTTGTTTGTTTTTGTAAGCGGAATTACTGCTCCTTGCGGAAGACCACAGACGAAGGACGAGGTTAAGAACGGGGGAAGTACTGCCGCCTACAGGTCTGGCATGTCCTTAACAACGTATTTATCCGGGTACGTGTGGACAGAGTTTTTTTTAAAAACGAGGTGGTGTGGATGCAACTTTTTGGAGGGGCGGATATTCGTTTAAAAAAACCCGGCTACGTGTGGACTAGGCCTTAATCTTGACAGTTTCAGTGCCTTCCAGAGCGAGTCGTTTCAGGGCTCTGTCACTTTAAGAAAACAAGCTGGAGCTGGCCACGCCCCCCCCTCCCCCCTCCCCGATTCAGCTGAAGAGCTTTGATATCCTGAAGGGGCTCGGTGTAGAGCCGCTGCTCCTCCAGCAGCAGCTGTCCTGAATGTGAGAGGCGACTCAATTCTACTTTCCCTGTTTGTGACATCACAAACAGGACTTGTTGACATAACTTGATGGATGGATTTATTTAGCACGTGGAGTGTTTGTAGAGGCAATAGAGACCCATATGGCAGCACAAAAGGTGAGATTAGCATATGTTCCCTTTAAATAAAGAAGTTTTAGTCTAGGTGGATTCTGATTGGAGACGGTTTAATGCACATGTTTAAAAACGGAGTGTTGCGTCTAAACCTTCTTGACAGAAAACAACCACAATAAGCCTAGATGGTCATTTACTTCCTGTCTTTTCATATCTGACCCAAATTAAAGGTGATTTGAGTTTATTTTGTTTCTTAGTCAGGAAACTTGGATCTGTTCACTACAGATGTGAGTCGCCCGTCGTGGCAGCAGGCCTAACGTAACACAGTAGTTTGAGGTAATAAAACTATTTACTGATAAATGTTGGATCTATTCATTATCTGTGTCAGGTTTACATGATATCAGCTTCTATAATCAACATTAAAAATCCAACAATGTCATAATTAAACTCTCCTGGCTGTGTTCCAAGTGTTTCCAGTTATTATTCATGCACTTCCTTCTGTGTGCACTCCTGTTTCTACATTGTGACTTCTGGCAGAGCCTGACCCGTGTTCTTCTTCCTAAGTAGTTTATTGTTAGCCTGAGTAGTAACTGCATTGTTGCATTCTCATTTGTAAGTGGCTTTGGACAAAAGTTCCTGTCAGACACGTAAACATTTCAGCTAATCAACCTTAAAGGCTTTAACTTGGTGGCTTTCACAGATACTGGGGTAAAACCTGAGCTGGTTGCAGCTGAGTCAGTCACAACAAGTCAAGCTCTGAGTGGAAACAGATCTTGTTAAATTGTCAGAAGGTGAGTTTAGCTGAAATCTACAGTCTGAACCGTGGTGAGAGTCGATTTCATTCTGAAGCTTTTAGTATTTCTGGGGCCTTGTCTTTTCTCTTTAAGCCCTTCAAACTAAATCACGACTTTCAAAACAAACACATATAAACTTCAGCAATCAAATAAGAACCTCAAATGTGTTTTAGACTGTTCTCTACTGACGGTGATGGAGTAACGGCTTCAGTTTGGTTTCCCAGAATTCCTCTCTGTGACATGACCCAGCAGTTCATCAGCTCACCATGTGACTATTGTGCTTTGTTTCTGACAGAAGCTCCCTACATCGAGAACCCTCCGTCTTACAGCTATGACCTGGAGCCCTCTGAGGAGCAGCAGCCTCGCCACGAGTCTCTGTCCTTCACTGGATCTCCTTCCTCTTCTCGGCGGCTCCGGTCCAGGAACCGGAACAGCCGAGACACCCAGTCCTCCTGTTCGCTGGAGTCCACACTGTCGGTAAAGTTGCTGTGACCAACCGATGTGGCACGCTTAACCATGTCTGTCAGCTAAAGCGATGCTGCTGTCCTCTCCTTTCTGCTACTGCATTGTCCTTCCTGCCTTCTCTCCACGCTCCGTTCCACACGGTTCCTCCTCCTGTGCTGAAAACGCTCTGCTGAGTTTAGTTTACACCCAAGTATGTGGAGCCCTTTCTAACAGCTTTTTATTTTAGGTCATTTTAGTTGGTTAATTTAAAATTTTAAACTGACTGTAGATCCAATTCTGTCCCCAAACTAAGATCTTCTAGTTTCTGACTTTGCATTTCTCATAAAGAATCTGAGAATCAGCACGTTACTGCTAAAATTAAGGCATATTTACAGCCTATACATTAAAGTGCTGTTGTGTAGTTTCCCTGGCGATAGGGGGCAGTACATACCTAAATCATTGCAAGCAAGTGGTACTTTTGTGTCGCGTAAGGCCTTACCAACGGATGGCCATTAGGGTCAAAAGTCCCTGGGAGCGTAACCTCCAGCAAAATGACATCACATCAGACGCCCTCTCATCACTGGCAATGAGTGAAGAGGTAAATGTGTAAAACAACATTATAAATGTTGAACATTTTGTAACTGTTTGTTACAAATCAGTAAGTGCATTTTGTCCTCACAGGCTGCAATAGTAGGAATGGTGTATAAAATGGCGTCACCCAGAGACTTGGGCCCAAACTCAGCACTTGCACTGCGCCCTGCGATCTTCAGCAAAGTGCACTTGGAGAAAGTGTGCAGTAAGGCTTCGAGTGTGTAGTACACAAGTGTGCAAATAATTGCTGAATTGAGGCAGGAAGTGTTGAGTCATCGATCGCAACGCATGCCGGGATGCTGGTCGCTGTGATACTTTTTTCAAAAACCTTTATTAACAACTTTTAAACAAACTGCCAAACAGTTATTTGAAATAAATTTACATTTATTGCTGCTTTGTCTAAAAGTTTTAGAGCACCAACAAATCATCCTAAAATGAACTAATTTCATTAGAAAATACATATTTTCAGAAAAGGAGCTTGAGCCTTTTTTCCCGCAGCAATGACTTGTGGGTAATACCCTTGCCCGAGGTCCGCATCGCTGGGAACTTGGGTGAAGTGCAGATTTAGGGCGCAATGGGGGTGTGGTCAACTTCCGCACTTGAGAATCGGGACACCCTACGCACTCGCACCCCTGGCCAGGAACGCACAAATGAAGGGTGCAAGTGTGAGTATTGACATTAGGCCTTAAACCCGCTCCCATCTACTTTAGACCCAATTTTTATGGTTATGTTACAAAACCACCAATATTTTTAACCACTGGGCATCATTTCAATTCAAAAATACTTTATTAATCCCAGAGGGAAATTGATTTGATTCATATTCAACAACATTTTGGTGGATATTTAAGTTTAACTATGTGGTTGATTAAAAAACTCTTTTTAATGATTAGTTCTGATTATAATCAGTCACTAAATTTTCATGCAGGCTGAACATGAAAATAGTCTCCTACACCGACCTATCATTAGCTTCTGATTTTAAATGGTTGGTGAAATGCTGGGATTTTGAAAATCCTCACACTGTGATGTCACACTGTGAATTAGCATCCATGGACTCACCCATCTTGGCTCACGCCCGCCCACAAGGAGGCTTTTTTTTTTTTGCAGCGAGGAGAGAGAGCAAAGTGTCTTGTTGATAGTGACTTTGCAACATGGCTGAGCTCGTTCTGTTTGCCAGTCAGAAGCGAGGTGTGTGCATATCATTAATAATAATGAGCAGTCTTGCTGTTTTCAGCCCACCTCTGCACCAGGAAACATCAGCATCTCAAAACAGGAGCATCATAACTTTTGTTTAATGACTCAAAAGGCATTGATTACACTAGAGAACCCCAAATGTATTGAATAAATGAGTGCACCACACTTTTAATGGTAAAAACTACACATTATCTCTTTAATATTAATTATGTGTTTATTCAAAACAGTGTACTTTTACAATATTTTCTTTAATAAAAGTTGTCTAACTGGTCTGGCAGAACTTCACATTCCAGTAAAACAGGGCTAAAGTACAGTCAGTGAAGTGATATTTATGAGTAAACTCAACAAAAACTTTATATGATTATTTAGTTATTAACCTAAAGCTCTTACAGGTGCTTTATTCATAAAGTAGTGTTTGAAGGTTTTGGATTTAAAAAAAAAAGAGTTGAAACTTTAGCTAAACGCTAATGAGCCGAAGCGATGCACTGTAAAAATGTCTGCATTTCCATAAATGCTTTATTCTAATTTCAGACTTAATTTAAAATAATGAATACATTTTTGGTTCATTTGTTGAGCTTTCTAGAACGTTGCGTGCTGAAGTAGGCGCCCTTTGAGAGGGCGTTCATGGAGGCACCGACGGGGCAGCAATAAAACGCTCACACAACTCCCAGATGTGACGAGCAGGGCGTCACTGACAAAAACAAGAACTCAGCAAACACACTGTGGCCAAACAGATGTTAAAAAGAGGACCCCCCCCCATCTGTGGTTTTCTTATCCTCTGATGTGATTTTAAAGCCTAAATCATAGTGGAGGGTGTGGCGGAGAAGCTTTGGGGCTCCACAGAGACTTTTCTTTCTCTGATATGATCGTTCCAGCAAAATGACTGATGTCTTTGACCAGTTTGAACCAAAAACTCCTGAACTAGAAGACATTTGTCTTGTTTAATCTCCCAGGAGTCTCTGGTGGAGGCCCCTTGGAATGTAAAACTCCCACAATGTCCGAATCCAGAGATGAGCGCTTCTCAGTCTATTCATGTGTTTTCTGCTCTTCCTTGTTTGTGTAAGGTGGAGCTGGACCAGGAGAAGGGACTGGAGATGAGGAAGTGGGTTCTGTCGGGAATTCTGGCCAGTGAGGAAACTTACCTCAGCCAGCTGGAGGCCCTGCTGATAGTAAGTGACTAACGACGCTAACGGGGCTAGCACGCACCACACTTTGGAAACCGCAGTAATAACCTTGGCCCCACTGAGCAGACTTTATACACACAACTATCAGTAATTTTTGTATGTTTATTCATTACTCGTGCACAAACCTTAAAATGTTAACATGACAAAGAAATCAGAGGTGATTGGTCATCAAAGCACTTCCTCCACAACTAACTGGTTCTCTTCTCCAGCCCATGAAGCCTTTGAAAGCCGCGGCCACCACGTCCCAGCCCATGTTGACCTTCCAGCAGATCGAGACCATCTTCTTCAAGGTGCCTGAGCTTCACGAGATCCACAAAGACTTCTATGAGGCTCTGCTGCCCCGAGTCCAGGACTGGAGTCACCAGCAGTGCGTTGGTGACCTCTTCCAGAAACTGGTTTGTAGTGTTCCTCTCTATGGCGCGGTATGGGGGCCAAAATTAAGACTACTGCCCAGCAGGCTATGTAAATTCCGAAGCAAACTACCGACCTGATTAATGATAAGCTGGCGCCGGTAACTGAGAGGCTGGCGCTGCTTAGAAATAGCACCTTTACCGGCGTTACTAATAGATACGCTAGGGACTAGCAGCCCTCGGCTGGTCATTGACTGGTTCACACACTCCCTCTGCTGTCTATTAGCATGGATAGGCTAGCGTTAGCCTGGACGGGCTGGTGTTAGCATTGGAGAGGCTAGCCATTAGCGTGCCTAGGCTGGCCACTAGCTGGATTTCCTACCCCCTTGACGGACCATTAGCATGGATAGGCTGACATTAGCATCGGAGAGGCTAGCCATTAGCGTGCCTAGGCTGGCCACTAGCTGACTAGTGACTCTCCGAGACATGCTAATGGCTAGTCTCTCCTATGCTAATGCAAGCCTAGCCATGCTTAACGTCCATCAAGGGCGTAGGAAATCCAGCTAGTGGCATGCCTAGGCACGCTAATGGCTAGCCTCTCCGATGCTAACGCCAGCCTATCCATGCTAACGTTAGCCTATCCGTGCTAATAGACAGCAGAGGGAGTGTGTGAACCAGTCAATGACCAGCCGAGGGCTGCTAGTCCCCAGCGTATCTATTAGTAACGCCGGTAAAGGTGCTATTCCTCAGTAAGTAGCGCCAGCCTCTCAGTTACCGGCGCCAGCTTATCATTAATCAGATCAGTAGTTTGCTTCGGAATTTATCTAGCCTCCTGCTGCTGGGCGTAGTCTTAATTTTGGCCCCCATACCGCGCCATACCTCTCAGCTTCAGCAAAGTCATGCTGCTGTTCCATCTGTCATAAAAATTACGCTGGAGCAGGAAATATGCAACACCTGCAGGAAGGTGATCCTCGAGAAGTAGAGCCGGTGATTAAATCAAGTCAAAAACATGTCAGGACACTGTCTGAGCCCAAGTACCCAAACTCGTTCTGATACTTTCTATGACTTAACAAAGACATGATGGGGACAACGACAAGAGCACAAACAAGGATGCAGGAGAGCAGTGGAGCACAGTGACTCAGACAAGCTAGGATCAGTCATTTTGTTTAAGACGAAAGACAAGAGTAGTTTTATCAGCTGATGTAAGTCTGGAAAAGATCAACCGAGAAGAGCCTGTTGGTTCTTCATCAGACAAACCACCATTCAGTGTTTCAGTAACTTTCAGAAGCTAGTTATATCACTCTTTGAACGCCGTTCCTTAATCTTTAATGATTGTTTAAAGAGGGGTGCTTGTGGAGTGAAAGGTGGTGTTTTCTGGCTCTAATTTAAAAGCTGAGGGGATTTTGGAGCGTACATCTGAGCAGACTGCCTGGAGTCGTCTCCTGGCCAGATAAAAGCCCCGCTTCACCGCATAACAGATGGCAAAGGAGCACGGACTGCTCACTAGGAGGCTGGCTGGTGAATTAGTTACGTCAGGGTTTGTTGTTGGGTGTTGAAGGTCAATACCTGCATGACAGGGATTTATTTGTTTATTTATTTATCTATCTGTTTAGCAGTCTGACAGGTGGGAAGTCTTACCTTGTCACGAATACCTGAAATGTCTCTAATCTGTGCTCTCCCTGTGCCTTTGTAGGCCAGCCAGCTCGGGGTGTACCGGGCCTTTGTGGATAACTATAAGGTTGCCGTGGAAACGGCAGACAAGTGCTGCCAGGCAAACGCTCAGTTTGCAGAGATATCTGAGGTATGTAGTCACGCTGCACGCAGCTGATCTCCAGCAGGCGAGGGCTTGATGTGTGCTGCTGCCTGAGACCAGTGGTGACAGGGCAATTTTTTTTATCCTCGCAGCGTAAAGCGCTGCAGTCAGTGAGGCTGATGCTCTAATCACCAAGAAGATGCTGAGATTTTGTTGACCTCTTCGCTCTGTTTGCTGTTCTCTCCCATCCAGAATCTCATTGTGAAAAGCACAAAGGACTGCAAAGACCAATCTGCTAAAAATTCTCTGGAGAGTGAGTAGTGGCCCCACATTAATCAGGATTTCTGTAAGCAGCAGGCTGAGCTGACTGTTCCTCCTCCACAGCGCTCCTCTACAGGCCCGTGGACAGAGTGACACGCAGCATGCTCGTTCTTCATGTAGGTTTGTTATCTGGAGTTCCTCCCTCTCAGTATCCAAAACATTTCTAAACCACATCTGTATTTTTTTTTCCTGTGGTAGGACCTGTTGAAACACACACCCTCCAGTCATCCGGACTTCCCGCTGCTGCAGGACGCCCTGCGGATCTCCCAGAACTTTCTGTCCAGTATTAATGAGGAGATCACCCCCCGCAGGCAGTCCATGACGGTCAAGAAAGGAGAGGTCGGTGTAGAGAACCTACGGAAGTGTGCTCAGTGAGGGTTACGTCTGTGTTGAGTAAAGAAAAATGTTGCTTCTTAAAGTTCACTGAGAAACCATTTTTACCTGTTATTTTTAAAATATGATCCGCAACTCTGCCACATAGCAGAACTCCTCCAGACTTGAGTTATTTGTGGAGATAAAACATCAACATGATGCTGTTAGCTGTAAGGATTTAATTTACATCTATTTAATGAACCATAAGACATGAGATTACATAGTGAAATCAATCTTATGGATCTTTGGGTACTTTTAACCAGAAGATTGGAACTTTTTATTGCAGGGATTATGTAACACTTTGTATTAACTGAGAGACAAGAGAAGAGAGTGTCACCTTTAAAACATTTAAGAAGATTTATTTCTGAACAATTTTAAACAAGACTAACTCTAAACTCTAAGTGATGAATGGATCTTGGTGGGAATGAGACGTGAGATGAGTAGTGTGTGTGTGTGAGTGATGTTGTCATCAGAACTCTCGTATCCGGAGAAGCAAGTCTGAGTGTGAAGTGATGCTTTGCTCTTAAGCTATGATCGGAGTTTCATAAACACATAAGACGCCATTTTGTCGCTCCACACATACCCTTCAGGATGAGACCTCCGTACAGATCCAGACTGCCAGGTCCTCGGACCCCCCTTTCGCTACCGGAGCCGGTGAAACAGCGTCAGCAGCACGACAGGCTAGTCTTTGGATTGTCTCCAGGTAAAAAGAGACAGTTGGTTCGGTTGACAGCGTCAGATGGACCCGGGGGGTCAGTGAGTTCAGCTTTTATTCTGAAAGGAACCGTTGCTTGGTTGGTAACGTGCAACAGATTTTATCCAGCTTGTTGGTTCTTTATAAGGAAGTCCGGGTGGCCGGTCCGGTACTTCTCTTAGAATGCGGTGAACTGGCTTAAGATGGCTTGGGGACTAGTTTTATTAATCTGGATGTTTTGATTTCTGGTCGAATCAAAGTTGGCAGATTTATAAACACCACAGAGACTATGCCACGCTTCAGAAAGGAAAGTTCCAACTGGATGAGTAAAAGCAATGTGTCATGTGTTTACATTACGTGGATCAGGATGTTTAGTGCAGCTAGATTAAAGTCATATTACTCATTAAAACTTACTAATCATAACATTGCCATTTCACCGATTGGTCAACATCTTATTATTGACTAACACTTTGTTTGATTAGCTTAATTAAAAATAGAAAGAGTTCTTCTTTCTTCTCTTGGACTGGAAAGGAAAACAGTTCAGAAGCAAATGCATGAGACCTTGAGGGAATATCTCATGCAGATTAGTTCTTGCTGAGGAGAGGGGGGAATGACTTTTAGGTGGAAAACAGTCATTTCATTCCATTACATATCCAATCAGAGGAGAGATGTCTGAATATCAGAAAATAAGAGTCCAGATCCTGTAGCGTTCTGTCCCCCTCCCCTCTGGCTGACTTCTGCTTCCTGAAACAGGAGCACCAGAGCTTTCTTTCCCAACAGAGATCAACTCACAGAGCACTCATTTACACTAGAGACCACTACAGATTTACTGAAATAACGAGTGAATGAGAGCTTTAATGAGAGTCTTTCTCAGTGAATTAAACGAGCTAAAGATTGAAATGACTGTACATGAAAAGGTTAGCTACTCATCTAGTTTAGCCGTAACTTGACCTCTTTGCCTGAAACTGCTGGAAGCTTTGAGTCGAGTGGACACAGACAGAGAGGGTGAGCTGGCTCCTCCACACAGACCACCAGGGTCCTCCCTGGGTCATGGCGCCTGACCTACCAAGGTCAGGTGCCTTGCTTATGAGGACACTGTCCTTCCTTGGTCAAAGAAAACGGTTAAGTGGAACAGACCTGCCTCACATGACCGTGGCTCCTGTGGAGGTCATTCACGTGACACGGGAGATAACGTTATATTTTATATGTATAAGTTTTAATATACATACATAATGAGCCATCTACTAATTAAATTGTGTATATGTTGGTTAAATTAAATATGTAAATGAGTTAGTACCCGCTAACCACTGAAGCTGCAACTACTAAGCAACTAACCAACCATAGATAACTGCTTTGGATCTAAAAAATATTTTTTAGATATCAGCTACAATGAGTTGACTTGCATTTAAACTTGACATTTCCCCTGAAGTAGCTGCCGGCTTCTGATCCGCCATCCTTTTGAAAATACTGCAGTGTATTCTGGGTAATTTTTGACCAAGGCTTTGCTACAAGAAGACACCTCCCGTGTATCCTTGCTCAGTTAGCTAAACGGCTAACAAACGGAGAACACACGCCTCGGTAGAACATGAGCATTGGAACACGCCTTGGCGGTTCTCCTAGGCAACCAGGGAAGGACCACGATATCAAGGCAAGGTTCCTTAACATTGAGAAACATCCCCTATTTCTAATGGTTAGCGCACAACAAATTACTTTAAACCTTTATAATGGCTTGTGTGTGTTTATTTATTTTACCCATCATCCTTCATGTCAGGGGGTGGAGGTGGGGGTCACCTGGCTCTGCTGTTCGTGCTTTCCAGTTGTCCTAGGAACTCGGAATTTCCGAGCAGGAAATGACAGAGCGTAAGATCGATAGACTGATTGGTGCTGCGTCTGCAGTGATGCGGGCGTTGTACCGATCTGTTGTACAGAAGGCGAAGCTCTCAATTTAACGGTTGATCAATGTTCCAACCCTCACCTATGGTCACGAGCTTTGGGTAGTGACCGAAAGAACGAGATCACGGATACAAGCGACCGAAATGAGTTTTCTCTGCAGAGTGTCTGGACTCTACCTTAGACATAGGGTGAGAAGCTCGGTCATCCGGGAGGGGCTCGGAGTAGACCTGCTGCTCCTCCCCATCGAGAGGAGCCAGTTGAGGTGGCTCGGGCATTTGGTCAGGATGCCTCCCTGGTGAGGTTTTCCGGGCACGTCCAACCTGGAGAAGGCCTAAAGGTAGACCCAGGACACGCTGGAGAGACTATGTCTCACGGCTGGTCAGGGAAGGCCGTGGGATTCCCCCTGAGGAGCTGGTCCAAGTGGCTGGAGAGAGGGAAGTCTGGGGGTCCCTGCTTAGGCTGCTGCCCCTGTGACCCAAACCCTGGATAAGCGGCCCGAAATGGATGGATGGAAATAATGTAACGGGTTTGTTTTGCGTTTCAGCGTCCAACTCGGAAAAAATGGATGCCACCAGTGTTGTTGAGGACAAAACCAAAATAATTATATAACGAAGTATTCTCCACATCTAAATATTAGTGACACACACACCCCCTGTCACATATAACCAGAAAAACATTACAAATCAAATGTAAACTTAGAAACGCCAGGAAAAGTAAAAACCATAAACTACGGTCCATTCGGCTAAAATTTCAACAACGTAACTATTGATAACAACAATAATAAACAACACACCGGTGCTGTTGGATAGCAAAAAGAAAGAAAACAGAACATATAAATGAGAAAAAAAAATAAAGATGATAACCACTTCCTGCTAGCACTGGGCGCAGCCATCTTTAAATTTGGGATCTCGGGGTCCTCTGAAACCTACGAGCTCGCAGCTCGAATTTCCAACTTCATTGGGTCATTTCTGGCTAACTCGTGTCGGAAAAACGAGTTCCAAGGAACACTGGAATGCACCATGTGCCTTAGCGGTTCGTGATGGCCCCTGGCTGCGTGTTGGGGACCCTTGAGCAGCCTTTGCTGGCCCCACACTGGGACTCTGAGGGATCCTGACGTTGATCCTGGTGTGGATTTCCTCCTACGCTGGTTTGGTGTTCCGTATTAAAACAGTAATAAGTGTGAAAAATTAAGATATAACATTTTCAGAAAACAGAGCACAAAAACTCACCTGTGGTCTACTCAAACCCAGCTAATGTTTAATTTAATCAGAAAAAGCAGGATGGTGGATCAGAGGAGTATGTCCGCCCCCACAGTAGCCTCGCTGCCTGGCTGCTATGGTAAAATGCTCAGAGCACAAGGTGTCTGGAAGCTGCAGTGTGAGTCAGGTTGCTGCTGACTCATTCCAGTCTGTCTGCTCTGAACGAACCGGAGCGTAGAGGAAGCTCGTGTGGAAGCAGTGCAAACACAGGAGGCAAAGGGGAGGTAATCTCCATGTCACAAACCAGGAAAGCTGCCGGTTGCCTCCGTGTTCACTCCCATCCTTCCCTACTGCCGTGTCATCTCTGCTTCCCAGAAATGACCTGCAGAGCCCCTCATCAGCTCCACAGCCCAGCCAGCCTCCTGACTGGTGAGGTCTGACTCTTTGAAGCCTTCCATGTGCCACACATCTCCTGGCTCACGTCCAGGTGACCTGATTGAGAACTTCCTCTTGTTTTTCCAGCAGGCTAGGATTTAAAAAAACTAAAGAAAGTTCTTGGGAACATTCTTCAGCACATTGTCTAGAAAGTCTGGCATCCCGCAGAGAGATTGACAGATAACAAGCTAAGTCCTGACTCCCAGTTTAAAATATGGGTTCGTTGTTGTATAGGAGTGACCCTCGACTAAATCTGCTGCCTGTAGTTATCCTGACCTTTAAACCATTGTTTTTTTTTTTTTGTTTCACCTCCTTTTCATGCCTCAGCATCTTGTTATAGTGCAGAGAACAACAGGGACATAGTGTTTGGTGTGGCATCTCCCTGCAGTGACGTCTCTGATTTTTCCATTGGAGTATTGACTTGTGGTCGTGTTTGTGTCACGAAACAATAAGCGGATGTAACCCTGGTATGGCTCTTTGAATCAAGGACACCACTGCGCGTGCATGAGTTCCTCACCAGTGTGTTCAGAACAAGCCAGAACCGAGCTGGAGCGTGCGGAGAGTTGCAGAGGAAGGCCGTGCTGCAGTGATTTCCTTGTTTTCCTTGGGTTGTGGTTGGTGTGGGATGGTGGAGGCTCACATGGGCCATGCCACGGTAAAACACCTCAGCCCACAGGTCAAAGGCCAGTAGAGGAATTTACACGCACACGCCTGCAGAAAAAAACGTCAATGTCATCAGACTGAAGCTCGGCTGGATGATTTAGTGCTGAAGTGCAGCTGGGCACGACAGCCTCAGACCCACAGCAGCAAAACAACTAATAAACAAATATTAAGATCACTGTGAGAAAAAGTCCAACTAGACCCTAGTTAAACTAGTTAACCCCCCTAAACCCATAAAAACTCAGCTTGTTCTGGAATGTTTCACAGTTATTGCACAACAAATAATTGTTACCTAAGTTCCAAGGAACTTGAGATGGTTTTAGAAGAGGTGCATTTTAAGACCACTGTGGTAAAAGCGACTTCCGTTGGTCTTTGGTAGAACCGACAGCTTCTGAGGGATCGCTTCATGGTGGAGCTGGTGGAGGGCTCCAGGAAACTCCGTCACGTCTTCCTCTTCACGGACCTGCTGCTCTGCACCAAGCTGAAGAAACAGGCTGCAGGGTGAGTCTGGGCCTTAGGTCCTCTACAGCTCTCATACACCTAGAACAGATTTTAGTTCTACCTTCAGTTTAAATATCCAGCAGCTGCTGACACACATCCTGTGAGAGGACATACATGTGCACATTACCGTAACAGGAAACCGCAGAAATGATGCTTATTTGTCCCTGAAGCAAAGGGCAGCAGTACGACTGTAAGTGGTACATCCCGCTGGCTGACCTGACCTTCCAGACCATCGATGACTGCGAGTCCACTCCCATCCCTCTTGTTCAGGATGAGGAGATCGATGCGATGAAGATTAAAATTTCCCAGTTCAAGAACGAGATCCAGAGGGAGAAGGTGAGAAAGGGCCTGTTTGTACCAGCATCAGGAATAACCACTGAGTCCATGAGCGTTAAACCTGTTTGTCTGCAGAGGACGACTAAAGGACAAAAGGTGATTGAGCGACTGAGGAAGAAGTTATCTGAGCAGGAATCGCTGCTGCTTCTAATGTCTCCTAACATGGCCTTCAGAGTGGCCAACCGAAACGGAAAAGTGAGTCCAGCCTGGAAAACGCTTTAAGAGTTTAGAGAGTCAGCATTTATCAGAGCTTTAGGCAAATAGTTTATGATGTGGTGAACGTTTTCATGTTTCTGCTGCCCTCTGCTGCTGACTGTGTGGAATTACAGCAAAGCAGCTGAACAATCTGTTGAATGTCTTTCAGGGTTTCACCTTTCTGATCTCCTCTGATTACGAGCGAGCGGAGTGGAGGGAGATCATTCGTGAGCAGCAGAAGAAGTGTGAGTTTTATTGTCGCCGTTCATACGTTGTTATGAGATCAGAGGCTGACGTGTTATTTTGTCCCTGACGGTGACTTCCAGGCTTTAAGAGCTTCTCCTTGACCTCTCTGGAGCTGCAGATGCTCACTAACTCGTGCGTGAAGCTCCAAACTGTTCACACCATTCCAATGACCATGAACAAGGAAGGTAGGATCTCCTCTGTGCTGCGTTACCGTTCGCTCCTAACACACCCTGCCTCGTGTTTAATGTTTAACCGGACCTCTCTGATGCACAGATGACGAATCTTCTGGTTTGTACGGCTTCCTGAATGTGATCGTCCACTCTGCGTCGGGGCTCAAGCACAGCTTAAGTAAGCTTGAATGTCTTGTGTTTTTGATTTGACGCCATCTCACACCATCCCACATCCTCCTCGGTGTCAGTCGTCACTTTCCCTCTCACTCAGTCCTTGCCAGCTGGGAGGGCAGCTGGAGGGGAACAAGTGGGATTAGTCAGGAACACCGTGTACAAGCTGACTCAAATATGCCCCAGGCTCCTGCTCAGACCTCCATGCTTCTGTCTGGGGGTGGGGGGTCTCATATCTTCAGGTAGCTGGACAGTGAGACAGCTCTGTTCCAGAGACAGATCTGATCAGGAGCCAGCGTGAGCATGTCTGAACCAGATGACTAATGTGAATCCCTGTGAGCTGCAGTTTCACTCTGACCCCGTGGTTCAAACCAGTTCTGCTCGTCTCTGCAGACCTCTACTGCTCCCTGGAGGTGGATTCCTTCGGCTACTTTGTCAACAAAGCAAAAACCCGAGTTTACAGAGACTCCACAGAGCCCAACTGGAACGAGGTGAGATGATCCAGTGCCTTTAAAGAGCGGGTCCCTCTAATGCACTCAAACTGGACCAGAGCGGTTTAAATAAAGAGGACGGGTGTGATGAACTGACACGGCTGCGCTCCGTTTCCATGGCAGGAATTTGAGATTGAGCTGGAGGGCTCTCAGACTCTCAGGCTGCTGTGCTACGACAAGTGCTGCACAAAGACCAAGCAGAGCAGAGAGGAAGGAGAGACCTCCGACAAGATCGTGGCTAAAGGACAACTAAAGGTAAAGTTGGACCTTTACTCATCTACAATGAGGACATTAAGAAAAGCCCAACCTGTTGCAGATGGTAAAACTCAGTAGCGTTACACTAGGGAAAAAAGCATGTCGTAAATAAAGTCCTGACGTTCCATGAGGGATGTAAATCTCTTGCTTCTGTGCAGCTCAGAATGAAGGATTTTGTTAAACTACTGAATTAAAACTTATTAATAACTCCGCTGTGACCAGCAGGTGCTTCAGCGCCACAGGTAGCTCTGGTCGGGTCTTGTTGGCGACCTACTGAACTCATACACACCGTAGTGGTCTTTTATAACACGAGGCAGAGAAGAAACACTTCCTGGTTGGTCTCATTTGCTCCACGCCGGTGTTCTGTCTCCATTGGTTAGCCTAACCCTGACTGCGAGGGCCTTTTACTGCTGCAGAAGAAGCGAGCCACGAGGTGGCCGACGGGTCACTCGCGCTTGACCTCCTGATGAAGTTGTGACAGGTGGTGGATTAGACCTTGTGTGTGTGTGTGTGTGTGTGTGAGTGTGTGTGTGTGTGTGTGTGTGTGTGTGTGTGTGTGTGTGTGTGTGTGTGTGTGTGTGTGTGTGAATGGTTGTGTTGTAAAGTGCCTTGGGGGGTTGTAGCTACACAAATACAGACCCTTTACTATTTTTGTCCAGGCCTGCTCCATGACGTTATTTTTATAAATAATTCCACTGAATCACGGTGGAAAGGCATCGGTTGCATTTCACAGCTCTGTTGTTACCTTTGTTAGACTCGAGCTCTGTGACTGTTGTGGGTTTTTCTTTCATTTCCCGCATCTGTAACTAGTGATCCTGCCTCAGACGGGTCAACCGTTTCATTTATCCAACGTTTCTGTTGAACTAAACTCTACAAAACATAATCTACAACCTTAGAAATTCATAAAAACACGAAGATGTTAAGTTAAACCAACATTCTTATTATTAATTTAAAGTGACACTTTATTATTACCTTATGTTTATGTTTATTTATTTGGCAGATGCTTTTATCCAAAGCGACTTACAATTTATAACCTATAGGGCATGTTGTGGTCTGCGGGGGAAACCGGAGTACCCGGAGGAAACCCACGCATGCATGGGGAGAACACTCAACTCCACGCAGAAAGGCCGCAGCCGAGTTTCGAACCTGCAACCTTCGTGCTGCGAGGCAACAGTGCTAACCACTGCGCCACCATGCAGCCTTATGTTAATTCAGCAACGCGACACCTACAACTTTACAGTCAATAAGCAGCTTTTTATCTGATTTATGCCTTTTTTAGGTAAAAAATATATATTTTAGTGGTTTATAAATATGCTATTTCTAAAAATGTGCAATTAGAAGGAATATAATAAGAGGTTTCAAAAAGGACAATTAAATAAATCTACACAAATGCAAAATAAAACCCTGTTTTTATATTTTCATCTAGCCTCATTTAGTTTTAATTATTATTAAACGAATTAAAACCAACCAGAAATGTAATAAAAAATGATCTGTAACAAATTAAAAAATATATAAATAAAATAATTTTCTATAAATAAATAAGGAGATCGTTGAGGAACTCTGTTATATTTATAGCCCGACTCTAAGAGAGTCGATGGAGGTGTGGCACGTGTTCCAGTGTCAAAGGTCAGCAGTGCTAATACCTGCTTGGTATAAGAGGATCCTGCTGGTCCACCTGAGATGCCACGGCCGACGCTCCCCGCAGCAGCAGGCGTGAGCACGTTAAGAAGGAGGGCAGGAGGAGATTCTCCAGGAGTAAATCCCACCAATCCATCTAGGAAGCAGAGCAACACGACAGCTAGTGGCTGTGTGGCTTTGTTCTGTTCTAACTCCTACTGGATCGAGAGAATCTGGAGTCACAGGAAGTTGTGTGAAGACTCAGCGAAGCTGATCGAGATGTGATCAGAGGGCGCATCATCTTCGGAGATCCCAGGTCTGTTGTTTCATCAGAGGAGCGCTTTAGAAACTGGCGTCGGAGGAGCAGCAAGGCCGCTGAAAGAAGAAGAGCGATGCCAGAGAGAATGAGTGAGAATGATCCAAAGGAGGAGGAGAGCGTGGATGGGGCCAACATGGGACTAGAAGAAGACGGGGACACGTCTGTAAAGAAGGGCCCCAGCACGGGGGCCCGTCTGTGGGGCCGAGTTCGCGGCAGTCTGCTCAGACCAAAGGTAAAGGGGCAGGAGGAGAGCTCCTCCGTGCAGCTGTTGGGTTTTCATTTCTGGGTCGGGAGTCCACTCTTCATTTACTTTCTCACGAACCCGATCCCCGTTGAGATTTGGAGACAAGTGCCTGTGATCGTTTTGTTTTATTTTTTTCATAAAACAACTATTATGTAAGTAAACAGATTTTCTCTGAGCAAAGGATTATCGGGATGAGATTGGAAGATTTCTTTGGTGAGCGAACATCTGCCATGCTGCACCGGCGCGGGGCTTAGTGACGAGGACGTGATGCTGTTGCGTTCCTCACACCTGACCACTGATTACTGTTCAGGATGACGTCAGAGTCTGTTATAGGTTAACCTCCGTCTTACGGCGTGAATACTCAACGGAATGATAAAATGGTACGTTTCTTCTCTTTAGTTGGATCCTCAGACGTTGCAGAGTAAAGATTGGCAGAGGACGGTCATCTCCATGAACGGGGTAAGTGTGTTTTCACCAGCTCTGATGCTGCTGCAACGGTGATCGGTGACATCGTACTGGTAACTGATGAACAGATGTCCTTCAGAAGGACGACATGAAGCATGAATGCTGCCCTGTGGTCCTCTAATCCTGTCCTCTGTTTCAGATTGAAGTGAAACTGTCCGTGAAGTTCACCAGCAGGGAGTTCAGCTTGAAGCGAATGCCTTCGAGAAAACAGTCGGGCGTGTTCGGAGTGAAAATCAACACGGTCACTAAGTGAGTCGTAGATTTGGGCTCAGTGTTTTAATCCCGTTAAATCTGACATAATCCTAATCTGTTATCACAGCTAGAAACTGGTGATGAGTACTATCTGTTAAAGTCTTGCTTCTTTGTGCCGTCGTCAGACGGGAACGCTCCAAAGTCCCGCTGATTGTCCGCCAGTGTGTGGAGGAGATCGAGCGGCGAGGAATGGAGGAAGTGGGGATCTACAGAGTCTCCGGTGTCGCCACCGACATCCAGGCCCTGAAGGCCTCGTTTGACTCAAGTGGGTAGAGTTTCTGTCCCCGACTTAACGTCTGGCTCATACCTTAGTTAAACAGTTAAAGCTGATCCATTACTTTGTTTTTTTACGCAGTGCAGTAAAAAAAATTGTTGTTTACCTTGAAGCTGACATGTTTTGGCTAGCGACTCTAGCCATCCTCAGAGCTCGCCGGTGTTGGTGGCGTCACTTCCTTTACGTGATCATGTGTTGAATTGCAAATCATTTAATGGAGCACACGGGTCATAAACACAGAACAACAAAAATTCAATGGCTATAGAAGCGATAGAAATAAGGAGACGTGGATGCAAAACCACGAACAGAGATGCTGGAGTCATCCGCAAGGAGGACGCCGGCAGCAGAGGGCGACATCGTCTTCTGCTGTGGACGTCACCAACACCAGCGAGCTCTGATGACGGCGAGAGTCGATAGCCAAAACGTGTCAGTTATGCACAGAACGAATGTACAAAAGCGTTCAAGCTGATGTCGACGCTGATGCGTCCTGCAGACAATAAGGACGTTTCTGTCATGATGAGGGAAATGGACGTTAACGCCATCGCTGGAACGCTCAAGCTGTATTTCCGCGAGCTGCCCGAGCCTCTCTTCACCGATGAGTTGTATCCAAACTTTGCTGGAGGCATTGGTGAGTGTTGCATTGTTGTAGCTGCGCGTGGACTGTTTGTTCTCACTGCTGCGTTTGTTTTGCAGCTCTGTCTGATAGTGTGGCTAAAGAGAGCTGCATGCTCAACCTGCTGCTGTCGCTGCCAGAGCCAAATCTGGTGACGTTCCTCTTCCTGCTAGACCACCTGAAAAGGTAAAAACACTGTAAATACCATCTATTCACCCATTCAGTTTCATTTGCCTATCTGGAGCTGAGTCATGGGGGCTGGAAGACCTCGCCAGGGAGGCGTCCAAAAGGCATCCTAAGCAGATTCCCGAACCACCTCAACTGGCTCCTCTCTCACTGTGGAAGAGCAGCAAGTCTACTCCAAGCCCCTCCCTGATAGCCAAGCTTCTGACTCCATCTCTAAGGGAGAGCCTAGACACCCTCAGCATTTCGTTCTTTCGGTCCCTACCCCAAAGCTCGTGACCATAGGTGAGGGTAGGAACGTAGATCAACCAGTAAAGCAAGACCTTCGCCTTCCAGCTCAGCTCTCTCTTCACCACAACACATTGGTACAACGCCCACATCACTGCAGACCGCAGCGTCCAGAAATGGTCATTTTTCATCTGCAGCCGTCCGGATACTGAAGAGGTCAAACTGTAGATGAAAAAGGACCACTAACACTACAAGACGCAAAACCAATCTGCCTATCAATTTCACGCTCCATCCTTCCCTCACTCGTGAACAAGACCCCGAGATACTTAAACTCCACCTCTTGGGGCAGGACCTCTTCCCTTACCCGGAGAAGACATTCAACCCTTTTCCAACTGAAGACCATTGTCTCGGATTTGGAGGAACTGATTCTCATCCCAGCTGCTTCACACTCGGCCAGAAACCGCTCCAGTGAGAACCTGGACCAAGCTCTGACACCGGTCATACAGGGACCTAACAGCCTGTATCAGAGGGCCTGGTACCCCATTCTCCCAGAGTACCCCCCACAAGGTCCCACAAGCCCGCCCCCCCCCCCCCCCCCCCCCCCAAGGGATGCGGTGGAACACCTTCTTAAAATCCACAAAACACATGTAGATTGTTTGTGCGAACTCCCACGCACCCTCCAGGATTCCCCTGAGGGTATATAGCTGATCCAGTGTTCCACGGCCAGGACGAAAACCACATTGTTGGAACACACCCTGCGGTCCCCCTTTTTAAATGGGGGCACCACCACCCCGGTCTGCCAGTCCACTGTAACTGCCCAGGATGTCCACGCGATATTGCAGAGCCGCTTCAGCCAACACAGCCCCACCACATTCAGAGCCTATAAGGCCTCACTGTAAATGTCTATTATCAGTGTTGGGAGTAACGCAGTACAAAAGTAATTAATTACTGTAATGCATTGCTTTTTGCTGTAATGTGGTAATGTAAGGCATTACAGGGAAAGAAAATGGTAATATTTACTCAGTACAATTGTCAATAGCGCAGTAATTACAACACATTTTTAAATCCAGAATCAAGATGTGGGTTTCTTAAAAATTAAAATTGCGGGAAGCCCAAAATAAAGATCCAGTATCCACATATATGACGTCATTTATGAACTCCGCTTTGCGGGCATTCTATGAGCAGAGAGGACACAGCGTTAATGGCTCAAATACTCCAGCTGCGTCCTGCGCAGCCGCTGTTATGTTCATAAAATCGCTCCACCAAAACAAAATAATTCACTTGCGATCGTTCATATCAGCCCATATTCTCTGTACTTTTCTGACGTGCTTTGCCTCAGCTGAGTTCATAATCTGTGCCCTCGCCCGGTGATTTCTACTCATTGCTGCTGGAGCGCAGCGCATATTAAGCTTTTTTTTTTTTGCGTTCGGTAGATCCCTTTGGCTGATTAGTTAGAAAGTAGGAAATCTAGGAAACAGTTTTTCTGGAAGACGGAGAGAACATGCAGCATGCAGAAAGGTTAGAGAGAGAAAGGGCTGGAAATTATTCACATAAAACCAAGAAAACAAAACAAAGTGCTTGAAAAGAAAAAAAGTAGGTAGATTTATCCCCAATACACATTTTTACCAGTGAAAAGCAATAATATATAAGCATTTAATATTTATACATGTGATAGAATCAGATCACCCCAGAAGTCAGTCCCACATCCAGGGCCGTATCAAGGCAAAATAGGCTTGGAGCCCCCACCACCTCACATCCTGCTGAGTTAATATAAGATGGCAGCGTGCTGAGAGTACAGATTGTTGTTGCTTTTATTTAATAAACAATCATTTTAAAGCACTGTTATTATATCTGACTGTTTTAAACAGCAATCCTAGCTCAGACTCCACATCACCTTCCTCTGCATGTGTCATGAGTTCACTGAGCATCACATGACCTGATTCATATTGAAATTGTTTTGGTGAAAACAATGCAAAAGTAGTGTAATGCCTTACATTTTAAAATCAGTAATATTGTAATGTAATCAGTTACATGAAAATGAGGGTAACAAGTAATAAATAATGCATTACAGTTTTGAAGTAACTTGCCCAACACTGTCTATTATCGTAATTTATATGAACCATATTATAAAGATGTTATTTATCTAGTCAAGTTGTGAATAGTAAATCTACATTAATAAGCTATTAATGGTGATATTTAAAGCACTTATGTAGATAAAAGCAAGACTGTCATTTTATAAAATGAGTTTTATTCGACCATATTTGCTCTGCAACGGTTAAAGGTGCATTATGTAGAAATGAAGTAAAAATTGACATCCTGTGGTAAAATGTGGTTACTGCAACCACTTTAAACAACTGAAGCGATTGGCCGGCCATCGTCAGATTACAGATGTGAGCGCTGCAGCATTAGCTTGCAGGCGACACGGCAAACTCACACTCACTGATGGTAAACAGTAGTTACGTCCCTCCTTCCTTTGTTTTGAAAGGAGAAAAACCGACAATCCCCACAGCTGGTTGGATATGAAATATGTTTCAGTGCAACCTTCCTTCCTAAATAACTCTTTTGAGATTTTCTCACTGTAAAATCTTCACCATATTCTTACACACTGTACCTTTAAGTGTTTGCTCTACAATCCATGCATGTTTTTGCTCTGTTTTTAAAGGGTGGCTGAAAATGAGAGCGTAAACAAGATGTCTTTCCACAATCTCGCCACTGTTTTTGGTCCCACTTTGCTTCGACCTTCAGAGAAAGACAGCAAAACCCCAACGAGCTCCCAGCCCATCTCACTGAATGATAGCTGGTCTCTTGAGGTCATGTCTCAGGTAGAACCATGTTGGCGATTATTGTAAAGGTGCCATTTGGCATGCTCTTCTGTGATGCTCTTGTGTTTTCCCAAAGGTTCAAGTCCTCCTCTACTTCCTTCAGCTGGAGAGCATCCCAACTCCTGACAGCAAACGCCAGAGCCTTCTCTTCTCCACCGAAGTATGACGGAAGCATGACGCGTCCCTCTCTGAAGTAGAATGTTGATGAAGCTGCTGAGCAGCCACGTGTTGCTGCTTTACTCTGATTATACTTCCTACAGCCATCGGGGCGCAGCCACCCTGCTCAAAGCCATTGTCTTCAGATAATCTGTTTACTTAGTCCTGCTGAATAAGAAGTCCCTCTAGGATTTATTGGTATCATTCCTTTTTTAATTTATTTTAAATTTGAAGAATCTTTATTTTCTGTTTTTGGATGCTCTGATCCCCGTTCAGTCACCGGACACAGACGGGTGTTCAAACAGTTCCTGGATGTTCTAAGATTTTTCCTTTGTGGATGAGGAGCTGGATACATACATGCATATATATGTATATATTTTTTTCCTAGAGCGTCTTCTTGGGTTTTGAGTTCACCTGTGCCAATGTTCCCATGCTGAAGTCCAAAAAAGCATTTCAGTCCTCCTGATGTTTACACTCTGTGATTTTTGTACAGACTCTTAAACGCTAACTGTAGTCAGCACACAACAACATGCAGGCATGTTGGGCGAACCCTTTTCAGTCTTTTGTTGTAAATAATTTTTGTGGAGATCGGGGTTCGTCTAGTGCTGCCTGGACAGGCTTTAAAGTAGAAGTGAGTGCTTTTTGAAGCCGTGCTGAGAAGCAAAAGGAAAATCATTCCAGGAAGTAAGCCCTGATTCATCTATCCTTGGAATGTTTTTGGTTCTGTTTATCTTTTCAGTTTCAAAGCTGTATTTTTCTCTATTTAACAATCATTTCCACATATTTTCTAGATTCTCTCTGAAGCTTTTGTTTAGCTGGAGGTAAAATTTTGCTTTTTCTCTTTTTTTTCCAAGTTGTTTCTCCCCTGAAATGACAAAAACCCGAAACAGAGGAAACAAAAGCATCCTCTGAAATGTTAAATGTTTAATTGTGAGACATTCCAAGTGCAGCAGTTCACTCACGCCTAAAACCTCTGATGTATTCAGTGGCCTCTTATTTTTGAAGGTCTGTGAAAATTCAGTGTAAACATGCACATTTTTTCCAAATCACTGCAAGTAGTCAAACAAACTAATCCTGTCTTTGAATCTCATTAATTGAGCAATAACTCTGTAGGAAGACCACTGTGTCGCGTATGCTTGATTTATGTAAAACCCTGCTAATGGTTTATTTTTGAGTCTTTCTTCTCAATAAAAATGTCTGACAATAAATCAAATCCTCTGAATCTACTGTTGTGTTTTTCTCACTTGCACAACACTGTGCACGAGCAGCTGTAGAGTTGTAATGAAACCATCACCTCTGAAGCATGCTGGGATCCAGCTGTTGCCACATTCTCCACTTTCATTTTACTGTTGCAGTTCAGCCATTGGACAGGTTTGTATGCTTGCTTGAAGATTTTTTCAGGATTTAGACCATGTTAACCCAGAGGAACTGGTGTGGTGAAAGTCCTGTGTAAATGAGCTGGATGACCTCTACCTGCCCTGGTCACTGTGCCTGAACATGGGGAGGAATGGAAACATCAAAGCTATGAGCTCAACAGTAAAGCAGATCATGGCAACCTCAATACATTTTTGTGACATTTTAAGTAATTTTTTACACATCAAGCCACTAAGACTCTGCTTGCTTCTCACACCAAACCCTCTTGTCAGGAATCTTGGAGTGACCTTTGACCCAGCTCTCACCCTGGATTCTCATGTCAGTTATCTTGTTCGCTCTTCCTTCTTCCATCTCAGGAACATTGCTAAGCTGAGTCCCATTCTGTCCCGCTCTGAACTTGAGACAGTTCTCCACACCTTCATCTCCTCACGCTTAGACTACTGTAACTCTTTTCACGTGTCTGAGAAGAATCTCCCTGAACCGTCTACAGGTGGTTCAGAATGCCTGTGCTCGGCTTCTGACCAAGTCCTCCAAACACACCCACATCACCCCGCTTCTCCTCCAGCTTCACTGGCTGCCAGTCAGCTTCAGGGTTCATTTCAAGATCCTGGTTCTGGTCTATAGGGCCTTACATGGACAAGCACCATCTTACATTGGTGATCTTCTTAGTCCCTACACCCCAGCAGGTCCCTGAGGTCCAGTGACCAAAGCCTACTGGTTGTGCAGCACCAGGCTAAAGACCAAAGGTGACAGATCATTTGCTGCTGTGGCCCCCAGACTCTGGAACTCTCTCTCCCTGAGCCTGAGATCAGTGGACTCAGTGGTCTCCTTTAAAAAGCAGCTGAAGACTCGCTTGTTCAAGCTGGCTTTTGTATGACCTTCTTCACCACTCTCTTTATTCTGCTCTCCCCACCTATTCCACCTTCCTCAGGATCCACTGATTTCCCTCTTTCCTATTCACTCTCTCTTTATTTACATTTTTAATCACAATTGTCTATTTTTGCTCATTTTAAATATATTTTTACATTTTTTGTTTTTGTGAAGCGCCTCGTGATTTTTATCTTGAGAGGCGCTATAGAAATGATCTTTTCTTCTTCTTCTTCTTCTTCTTCTTCTTCTTCTTCTTCTTCTTCTTCTTCTTCTTCTTCTTCTTCTTCTTCTAAGATGATAAACATTTGAGTGTACATTGTAATGATGAATCGTCTCTCTATTTTTAATTTAAAATGAGTACACATGGAGCACTCTAAGCCTCTTGAATTATTTGTCATTCAGATGCAAAAAAATAAACCCATGTCTGTGGATCTTAAAGAATGTGGGTGGGAAACCTGCTAAACTACTCCTCCTTGACCAAAGTCCTAAAGAGCCCCTTCAGGGGGCTGAAGAGCCATAGCTGCAGGCTGCAGAACACCAGATCACAGCCTTTATACTATCTCTTTTATCTTTGTCTGGCTCCTCTTCACCCCTCATTCCCTCCTTTGGAAGCATGTGTTTCATCACTGAGTCTGATTGAGTTAAAATCATCGACATATATAGGTTAAAATAGAGTCAGAGAGCTCGCAGATGCTCTTGCTCAGAGAGCAAATAGAGGTTGATGGAATTTTTCATACACAAAGTGCAATATATATATATATATATATATATAGATAGATAGATAGATAGATAGATAGATAGATAGATAGATAGATAGATGCAAAAAGTGTCTAGTAACTCAATTTTGTTCTAATTAACCAAAAAGATTTTTGAAACTGCTGCAATTTTCCAGAAGTGGCCATGGCCACCCCCATCCCTTGGGGGCGCTCTTGTTAAGCAAGAGTCATTCACACATCATTTGCTGTAAATCTACCATTCTAATACTTTTCTTTGTAACTTTCGTGGCACACGTAGGTCCTGGTCCTGCTCCAACAATAGTTTAGAGATAAGAGTGAATTAATCATGTCATGTCCCTCCTGGTCAGGGTGATGTTGCTGACGTGATGCAACCAGAGGGGGGCGAGAGGATCATCCAGAAAGGAGGTGATGTCCCGAACCGATGCTGCCTGTACAAGCAGCCGGATTATCGCTGTGCAGACCACAAATGGACATTCGTCTGGCCGTAATTTACATGTCAAATTGGGATGATTAGGGAAACCAAAGGTATGATTATTACTTTATGTGTTTACTGAAATAATTCCTTACTTTTGTCCCAGCTATGCTAACCATGTTAGCTCAGTGATAGCGTTAGCTACTTGAGCTTCTTTATAGTTTAATGTGGTCAAATAACTCCGATAAAGACACAGTAGTCACTCTAAATAGATGTAAACCTATAAAGACGCCTTGTTTGTGTTAAGAAAAATAATATTGTTTTATGTGCAGAATCGCTCGTAGTTCAGCTGTCAAGCTAGCTAATCACGTAGAAAATATTTTTCAAAATAAATCCGTTGTTTCAGTCATTTCTAAATGATTGAAAGTAATGGGCGTTCACGAGTTCATTGGCGTTTAAATCGACCAACTTCAACTTCCTTCATGATGACTAGCACTAAGAGATTTCGTTCAACTCTGTTGTAGCGTAATGTTCATTAGCGATATGACCTCATGGCTTGACTAGTTTTTCACTTTCACGTGAATATTTTATCCTTGTAGCCATATTATCACAGACTACAACGCCACAATTGTGGTTCATGCATATGTTTATATTTTCACACGCTGACCTTTTATGTGTCATAGATTCAGGTAACGTTTTAGTTGTGCCAACGTGTCTAGCTCTGTGCTTTTGTTTTGAAAGCGCAATACCAAACCGGAAGTTACTTAAGCTACGTGCCTGACAACACAATCAGCTAGCTAGCTGGGTTATTAGTGAATTACCTTAAAATAAAATGTTCTTTCTCCACAGCGAGTCCCGTTTGAGTCCCGTTTGAGTCTGTGCGTCAGATAAAACCGCTTGGATGGCATTTTGTTAGTTTTATAGCTGTTTTTTGCCTCGGTGCTTTTTTTGTGGTGTAAATTTCACAAGCATCTGAGAAGAGGCAGTTTTCTGTTTCATTCCTGCACATCTTCTCCTTAGCTGATAAAGAGGAATTGATTAAATCACCACTCTACTTGTGAAAATATTTATCTCGATGCAGATTGTGACCATCAGGATCACACAGTGTAATCTTTTAGGGCATTTTCAGTCTCTATCTGAATAATCTGACGGTTGATGCTGAAGGCTGGGTTGTAAAAATAGATAAATGACATTCCAGCCGTGTCTAATAAAAACAAAATGCTTTGGTAAACTTGAGGCTTGGCTGTCTTTCCGTCCCAGGCAGACCGATGTCGCCGTGCACAGTCAGCCCCGTTAAGTTGACTTTTGAATTTTTATTTTTTTTATGGGAGACGCCACCACAGGAAGCTGATGTTATGACAAGGACATGCCTCCCTGCAGTGAAAGCATAAATAAGGGAGGGGAGCAGTGAAGGGGTATTTACAAGACCATACCACCCCCCACTGCCTTCTCTACCCTGACTCTTGTCTTCCTCTCAGGCTCCTGTGAAGGAAGACTGTGCTCCCTAGTTCCTTCAGTCATATCCACTGCATTCATTAAGAACTCGGATCAAGTAGGCCTGATTTCAGTTGGGTCAAATGTCAGTGACCTCTTTATTGCTGAACAGCACATGCTGGTCATGTAGATAATTGTGTTGACAACAGAATTGCTTCTGATAGATTTAGGCATTTTTGTTCTGTGTTGTTTAACAAGACGTTACCCATTTTTCCTTTGGATGCCAAAGTCAGCCCAACGCTGTTCAGTGACTCACATGCAGAGAAAAACAGGATGTTTTTATCCTCTAGACTCAAGACAGCCTGAGGTGTGTTTGGATGCAAATATACACAACTATACATACGTCTTTCAGACCCAGTGAAGAAAGGCCGTGCTCCTTTTTCAGTGGCACAGGAGCTAAGTGGTCACCCTGTAATCGGAAGGTTGCAGGTTCGAGCTCCACTCAGTTTGTCGCTGTCATTGTGTACTTGGGTGAGACACTTAACCCCCCCCCTTGCCTACTGGTGGTGGTCAGAGGGACCGGTGGCACCAGTGTTTTAGCAGCCTCGCCTCTGTCAGTGCGGCCCAGGGCAGCTGTGGCTACATCGTAGCTCATCATCACCAGGGTGTGAATGACTGATTGTGTTGTAAAGAGCCCTTGGGGTTCCAGGACTCTAGAAGGCACTATATCAAATACAGGCCATGTGCCATTTTCAGAAAAGGTTGCTGCAGCTTGGTAAAAATGTCCCTGACTGTTGTGGTTGATGCACACAGACAGCTGGGACCAGAGACAAACAAGGAGTTAGTTGAATGTCCTGATGAGAAAAGCAAAGTTTGGTCACGTAGAGCAGAGTTCACTTAAGGTCATGTTTATTTATTTTAGTGTTGACTTTTTCGTCCTGCGTGTAGCACGACTGCTTCTCCATCATTGTAAGGTTTCATGTGGAGCAGCTTCATGTTGCTCCAGTGAACAGCTGGTAAGCTTCAGATCTTATTAGTGATCGTTCTGGTCATTAAAGAAACATCTACGCCCTAAATGGGGTTGTCCAGTGCTTTGCTCATAAATAATAATCACTAGGAACATTTTTGCCTCTCATAAATTCCATTTTGATGTGTGCTTGGAGATTCTCGACATAAAATGAACTTTCCAGGTCTGTTTTCCTTCTTCGCTGATCTCCAGCGGTCTGAGATGTTTACCACCTGATTTTTCTGTGGTCCCAGTTGCTGCTCACTTGTCTTCCAGCTCCAGTTGGATTGAATTAAATGTTAAAACTAACTAAACTAAATTATTCTAGATTATTTTTTCTGACACTACAATGTTTTTGTAATTTGTAAATTTATCAGTAATTATTATTCAAATCATCTAAGAATCAAACAGCATATTTCATTTCTCTGCATTAGTTTTGGCTGCATGCTGGTGCTGTTTCCTCCCAGTGAGAAGGTTTCAGGTTTGAATCCCGGCTGCAGCCTAGGGTTTTCTCTGGGTACTCCGGTTCCCTCCCACAGCCAAAAACATGCATGTTAGGCTGACTGGAGAGTCTATATTGTCTCTGTGTGTCCCTGTGATGGACAGGAGACCTGTCCAGGGCCTCCCTGGGCTCTCACCCAATGTCGGCTGGAGGAGACACCCACTCCCCGAGACCCAACTGAGGAGAAGTGGTTAAAATAATGGATGGATGTATTTGTTTATTAATGACCAACCAAAGGCAGACCCACAGAGCAGCAGCGCTGGGAGGTGTTCTCTATTTAAACGTGGAGGATTGTTTAGTTCGTGGTATTTTACTAAAGCCTTGTTGAAACTCAAATGTCCGTTTGAGATAAACTCCGCTTTTGTAGGATTGTTGGTGGAGAACGCTGACGTTCAGCCTCATTAGATTTTTAACATAATTAAACAACATATGCTGGCTTTATTATTAGTTTATTATTAGATGGTAAAAATGGCCTGTATTTGATATAGCGCCTTCTAGTGTCCTGGAACCCCCCAAGGCGCTTTACAACTTAACCAGTCATTCATACCCTGGTGGTGATGAGCTACGACGTAGCCACAGCTGTCCTGGGGCGCACTGACAGAGGCGAGGCTGCCGTACACGGGCACCACCGGTTCCCCCGAACACCACCAGCAGGCAAGGTGGGTTAAGTGTCTTGCTCAAGGACACAGCGACAGACTGAGCGGGGCTCGAACCTGCAAACGCGGGGCAAGCGCTCAGCTCCTGTGCCACCGTCGCCCCGTTATGAGTGTTTACAGAAGTCTTGATGTATTCTCATATCATGCTGTCAGATTCAGCCCAGCATGTTCTCAACAACCTCAGCTCCTCTGTTCATCTACTCCTTCCCTCTCTTTGCTCGTGTCCGCGCCGAGGTTCAGCTCTCGTCTACAAGCTTTTGTTTGATGCTCTGAGCCAAAGTCAACACCTCGTTTGCTGCCAAATGAATACGTTTACTGTGGAGGTAAAAACTCCAGCGTCAGGCTCTTCTCAGGCAATGTGTGGAAGAATGCAGTACTAATTAAAGACGCGTCTTTGAACGCAGCTCAGAGCGTGGAAGTAATCTGTTCTTCAGGTTTTAAAATGAAACAATATCATGAGCAGAGTGGCCCTAACTGTACCTGCCTGCTGGCGACGGCTTTATCGGTGCTGGTGCCTCTCCCAGGCGCAGCAGAGCCATCTTGTGGAGGCAGTGACGTTTGTTACAGTTGTGTCACTGCAACAAGGACACATTCATCAACTCCCCTAACCCTGCCTACCTCTCATACCTCTGAATAAACCTCACATCACAGAAGTTTTTAGATTTGGTCCCGGCAGTGGAAAAAACAAGTCTCCGCGGAAAGAATTCCTCTCTTGGAAAACTGGAGCCATCGCTGCTCGCCCTGACGTGCGTTACCGTTCTCCTCCCACCTTCCTTTGTCTACAGACTGAGCTGTAAATGCGTCTGCACCAGAGAGCTCAGCATGAAGAAGTCTGCTCGGCCAGCGGCGAGTAAGGTCAGCGGAGATCGAGGGAAGTCTGAAGCTGCTGCCCCCGCCGGCACCGGGAAGTCTGCAGCCAAAGGCGTCGCTGCTGCTCCTCTGCCCAAGGTGACCCACATGAGAGATGAGGGACTGAGCTGCTGGGTTTGCTGAATGCGGTTTGAATGTTGTGTTGTGTTGATGTGCTTCCAGGTGAAAAGCAGCGATGATCTTTTAGCAGCTATGGCTGGGGGGAATCCTGCATCCAGCAGTACTGCCACTAAGACCAGGAAGGCTGCCTCTACTGGAAATGCCGGAAACCTGGAAAGCAAGCCAAAGACGACTTCAGGTTTGTACCCATTCAGTTCTACAGGTGAGTCTGTCCTCTTCTGTGTCCAAACTATAAATGTGCTTTTCTGTCTAGGTTCTGTGTCGAAGCGAACAACAACAACGAATTCCAAGGAGCCAAATTCATCTCGAGACCGCCTTCGAACATCAAGGACTTCAGCTGCTAAGAAGCAGCTGGCGTCGGGGGCAGGAGCAGCAGACGCCGCCTCTGGAAAACGCTCCCGGAGTCAGATCCACGTGGTGGAGTCAGAGAGCCGGATGTGCAAGTCTAAGTCAGACGGTCAGATCAGCGATAAGGTGGCCCTGGAAGCCAAAGTCAAAGACCTGCTCGGTCTGGCTAAGAGTAAAGATGTGGAGATCCTCCATCTCCGCAGCGAGCTGAGGGACATGCGGGCCCAGCTGGGCCTCGGGGGTAAACACCCCCCTGCGCAGGAAGAAGCCGGAGAGGAAGAGAAGCCCCAGGTTTCAGCCATCACAGCTGCGGACGTGGAGTCCACTTTGATTCTCTTACAAGAGCAGAACCAGGCTATCAGAGAGGAGCTGAACTTGCTCAAGAGCGAGAACCGCATGCTGAAAGACCGGCTCAACGCCTTGGGCTTCTCCCTGGAGCAGAGGCTGGATGGCTCAGACAAACTTTTCAGCTACTCCTCCCTGAGTCCAGACCTGGTAGCCAGCAGCGCACACAGCGACGGTGGCTGCACAGGTACGCTGACTTCGTCCGTGGAAGGCTCCGCCCCCGGCTCTTTGGAGGATCTGCTCACAGGACAGCAGCATGGAGGCTCCGCAGACAACCTCGACAGTGAATCCAGTGAGGTCTACCAGGCGGTCACCTCCAGCGACGATGCTCTGGATGCACCCTCTGGAGCTTCCTCGTCATCAGAGTCCGAGTGTGCTCAGAGCGCCGAGCGGTCCAGGAGGGGCAGCAGTGGCAATGCCAGCGAGGTGTCGGTAGCATGTCTGACTGAACGCATCCACCAGATGGAGGAGAACCAGCACAGCACGTCTGAGGAGCTCCAGGCCACTTTACAGGAGCTGGCTGACCTGCAGCAAATCACCCAGGAGCTGAATGGAGAGAACGAGCGGCTCGGAGAAGAGAAGGTCATCCTCATGGACTCTTTGTGTCAGCAGAGTGACAAGTTGGAGCTCTATGGTCGACAGATCGAATACCTGCGCTCTCTTCTGGATGAACATCATATATCTTACGTGTTGGAGGAGGATATCAAGAGTGGTCGCTACTTGGAACTGGAGCAGCGCTACGCAGACCTGGCAGACAATGCCCGCTTTGAGAGAGAGCAGCTGTTGGGAGTACAACAGCACCTGTCCAACACGCTGAAGATGGCTGAGCAGGACAACGCTGAGGCCCAGGACATGATCAGAGCCCTGAAGGAGAGGAACCACCAGATGGAGCGCATTCTAGAGTCGGAGAGGCAGGATCGAGCGGCCTTGGCGGCGGCGCTAGAGGAGTACAAGGCGGCCATGAGCAATGACCAGGCAGAGCTGAGCCGCTGTAGAGCCCAGCTGGAGCAGGAGAGGCAGCGGGTGGCCGAGTTGTACTCCCTCCACACGGCAGGGGACAAGAATGACATCTGCCAGCTGCTGGAGGGGGTACGTCTGGGCAAAGAGGAGGCTGAAGCCAAGGCTGCAGCGATGCAAGAGCAGCTGGAACAAGCACATGTAGAACTCAACCAGCTGCAGGAGACTTTCAGCAAGGTTAGTGAGACCTCTCAGGCTGGTCCTACACAGATGTATTTCCACTTTAGTCCCTCAATTGTCTGAAAGCTTGTAGTTAATTTAAAGAAGGATTCTCCTCCTTGTGTCTGCAGCTGGACAGAGAGTACAGAGACTTCCAGGAGCAGGTGCAGCAGCAGATGGCTGAGCAGGATCGCGCTCTGGAGAAACAGCGTGTGGAGCTGCAGGAGAAAGACACAGAGATCGCCGACATGAAGGAAACCATCTTTGAGCTGGAGGATGAAGTAGAGCAGCACCGAGCTCTTAAACTCCACGACAACCTCATCATCTCAGACCTGGAGAGTAAGCGGGCCCAAACCCAAACCTGATCGAACCTTTAGTTTTGTACTGGAGTGAGCTGCCAGCCGGCGGCGGTTGTTTAGTCAGCCCCACAGGAAGCAAGCAGCAAAACCAGCGTCACACTTTCTGTTGAGTCTCTTAGCAGCTGCAGGTGCACCCAGTCTGCAGGTTCATGGACCAGTACCACCGCACCAGAACCCAGGAAGATGCATCCAGTTATTATAGAAGTATCTTCATTAGTGGGTCTGGTGTGGCCCAGGCTGCAGTCATGCTGGAGTTAGGGTTAGATGTCCCACCTGCACAGGTGTTGATGCAGACACACTAAACATTTACTTATTTGAGGCTGAAGAATAAGTGCAGATAAAAGAAAGTTTCTTTATAGAAAAAGTGGAAAACAATACAAAGTATTTGTCCTTCGATCCATTTCCTTAATTTTATGACCCAGACAGGAATCGATGAGTCGTATTTTATGTAACAAATCCTAATCTGGTAAAGTTTAGATAAGCAGAAGCACGTTTAGGCATGTCTGAGTTGTGTTTTAGTGTCAGCCAACATCAGGCATGTGTGTTTGATTTATTTTCTTTCAGATTCTGTAAAAAAGCTACAAGATCAGAAACACGACATGGAGAAGGAAATTAAGACGCTTCATCGCAGGCTGAGGGTAAGCAGACGCTCACACTTGGGGAGGGTGTGTGTGTGTGTGTGTGTGTGTGCACGTGTGTGTGCACGTATTACTGCCAGCAGAGTCCACCCTACTGCTGCTCGGTTATGTGACTGCGGTGTTGTGATAAAGGTGAAATCCCGGGTTTGTAGTATTGCACAGCTCAGCGTAAACTGAAGGCTTTAAGTTGCAGATTTAAATTTGAAAAGGCAACAGGATCTGTTCTGCCTGTGGAAGGTTTACCGGGCCGTAAGTGTTTTAATGAGACGCCTGATTTTCCAGCTCCCATCCAAACATTTGTAGACAGAGCAGACCAGGGGTTCTGGAGCTGCCTTCTGGGTCAGGGCTCACACTCAACACGCCGCTGTCTTTTGTCCACAGGAGGAGTCGATGGAGTGGCGCCAGTTCCAGGCCGATCTACAGACGGCCGTGGTCATTGCGAACGACATCAAATCGGAAGCACAGGAGGAAATTGGAGATCTGCGGCGTCGTCTGCAGGAAGCTCAGGAGAAGACAGAGAAACTGAGCAAGGAGCTGGACGAGGTCAAGAGCCGCAAGTAAGAACCGAGGAGTGGAGGACGGTCCTCCGGTCACGCTGACTCGGTCCTCACAGTGCCTCCTTCATCTCTGTCGAGTTAAAGTGATTGTAAACGTACGGACTGTTCTGTGCTGTGTGTCATCAGGCAGGAGGAGGAGAGAGGAAGGGTGTACAACTACATGAATGCAGTGGAGAGAGACCTGGCAGCTCTCAGACAGGGTATGGGTCTGAGCCGGCGCTCCTCCACCTCCTCAGAGCCCTCCCCCACCGTCAAAACGCTCATCAAAAGCTTCGACAGTGCCTCACAAGGTACGGCTTTACCAGAACGCCCTGTTACTGGTGATGGTGGCTTCATTAATAACATAATAATAGTTCATTTTTATTATCGGTGCAATTAGGTTTATGCTTTGATTTGGCAGCACTAGCATGCTGGATTTAGAAACAGCTCTGGTTTCATGGTGAAACCCTCCTCTGTTTTAATGCAGGTCCGCCCACCAATGGAGCCTCTGTGGCCCCAACAGTCTCCGCCCCCCCGTTACCCAGAACCCCCCTGAGCCCCAGTCCCATGAAGACGCCCCCAGCAGCAGCTGTTTCTCCCATACAGGTACCCGAAGCCACCAGCCGGTAGCTGTGACGAGGTTGTGTTTTTGCTGAAGGTCTTTGTTGTTCGGACTGTTTCAGAGACACTCCATCCCGGGGTCTCTACCCACCAACAAACCGCTCTCCTCCCTGAGTGATAAGAGGCCCAGCTACACGGACATGAGCATGCCAGGTACTTCCTTGTTTCTCGTCGTCACGACAGTGAAGTGGCGCTCTTCCGGTCTCATGACATCCAGAGTTGGCGTGTCCCTAGCATGTTTAGAGGAGGGAAGTGAGGAGGCCTGGACGGTTAAAGTGGTTTATGTGAACGTGCTCTTTTGGCCATAGCCTCCCATGTTGTTTACTTTTCTCAGATTTATTGTTTTCTTGCTGAGCGAAGCATCCTCCAGCGTCGGTATTCCCCGAACTCATAGAGACTGGAATGTGGCTCTTTCCTGACCTGCTGCATCAGTTTTCACTCACACAGCAGTTTCATGTCCATCCTGTGATGTGTCCACAGCTGAACACCTTCTCAGGGGAACCTCATGCAGCCGGCCCCCTCCTGCCCTCCAGAGGGTCTCCAACATGGACTCCACTAAGGCCATTTCAGGTCAGACACCTTCTGAAGCTCGGTATGGATCAGTTGGGAATCGGTTGAGTCATGAGTCTGCCCTTCTGTCCCCAGCAGTGTCACGCAGGAGCGGTGAGGACATCAAGAGGGACATGTCAGCTCCTGATGGAGCTTCCTCCTCCTCCCTGATGGCTATGAGTGCAGTTTCCTCCCCACTCTCCCTAACGTCTTCCTCCCCCACCGCCTCCATCACCCCTACAACACGCAGTCGCCTCAGGTACCACAGCTTATACTGGAGACGTAGCGATCTCGGCTCAGGTCCTGCCTGAGCAGATGAACCAGATTCTCATGCAGAATGTCTTTTAAAAATATGGCTGCCATGTTTCTGCCTCCGCCACAGAGAAGAGAGGAAGGACCCTCTATCAGCGCTGGCCAGGGAGTATGGAGGCTCCAAGAGGAACGCTCTGCTGAAGTGGTGCCAGAAGAAGACTGAGGGCTACCCGGTGAGAGCCTTCAAACCGGAGGGATGAGGATGGTTCAAGCACACTTCTGTCTGGTGTTGACTTAAGCTTGGTTTATGCTTGATGCATTCACTTTCCGCACGGTGATGCGGCTCGCGGATGGAACGCGCTTCACAACTCGCACCGTTTATGGTTCATGCGGCTCGTCTCTGCGGTGAGCCAATATTCTCCCAAACTGTAGGGGGCAGCATGGAGCTCTACATGGCATGCATCCAATACTACACCATAGTAGAAGTAAAAATGACTGTTGTTTACAACATGGCATTCCAGCATTTTTAACAGCGTTCTCGTCTTTTCCGACAGTGCGAGCTATTTCTCTCCAAGAATTATTAACAACATGTTGATCACGGTGATCTCTGAGAGCTGAATCATACAAATGTCTGTATTTACGAACCTCTGCCATACTAGTTACTGCCGGTCCGCCATGTTTTTCCGTGTCCGTCTGTCCGCGTGGTTAGAAATTTTCCTAGGTGCGCGGTGCGGAAAGTTTGGGCCGTGCGGAGACGCGGTGGAGGGGCGTGGTTGTTAAAATGACGCAATTTCGCCGCGCGGAGCCGTGCGAGTCAAGCATAAACCAACCTTTAGAGCCCTTCTGTTGTCTAGACGAGACAGGAACAAAGCCCTGATGGACACTGAGCATTTAACAGGATGCAGGTCTTGGTTACCATGGTGTCCTGAGTCCTCCCCAGGACGTTTGGGCCATTAAACACAAACACCAAGCATTTATTTCTGAGTGCTGGGAAGGAAAATGATGAGGAGATTTGAGCTTGGAGCCCCGGTGCGTTTTGGGTTAATGATGTCTGATGTCTGAGCAGATGATGGATGAGTAATGCTGACTGTTGACATAAAATCCCAGCGCTGCGTTCAGATTAAGGAGCTGTCCCTCTGTTCAGCAGCGACCCGTTAGATCTGTGATAAGCCGCTGCTCTCGCCAGGATCAGGGATCCGTCTCCCAGTGTCTCTTTCGTTTGGCTGTGAAATGTTGTCAAAGTAAATCCAAGTTTAAATGTCTTTTCCTGTCAGAACATCGATATCACGAACTTCAGCAGCAGCTGGAACGACGGCCTTGCCTTCTGTGCTTTGCTCCACACCTACCTGCCTGCTCACATCCCGTACCAGGAGCTCACCGGACAAGACAAGGCAAGTAGAGTTCAGAGCAACCGCGCGAACCCTCATCAGGTCATCAGCCCTTCACTTTACCTCTCACCCTTTATTCTCAGAGGAGGAACTTCACCTTGGCTTTCCAGGCTGCAGAAAGCGTCGGCATCAAATGTACTTTGGTGAGCTTGCTTCTTATTTTGAATTAAAATGTGTTTGTTTGTTTTTTCCTCTGTGAGCCAAAGGCAGTGAAACATTCACAAACCTCTCCTCATGCTCAGAATTAACACCGAGGCATAAAGTTGGTGCACGTTTAAAGGAGCAGGAAGCAAGCTAGGTCTGTTCAAAGACAGAAAACAAACCGCCGAGCACAAGAGCTGCTCAGAAACCTCACATCTGGTGCACAGACTTCCTAGAGCCACTCATGTCCTGCTCTGCACGAGTAAACTCGTCATCCTGCACAAGAAAGGGACGAGGTTTACTAGAAAATCACCCTATTTTTCTGTCTGCAGACAAATCTAGAAATGACATCAGAGGGAATTTAGTTTTGAAATGAACTAGTAAGAAGTTTGATGGGAATTTGACAGAAATCAGTAGAATCAAAGTATTTTCTGATGGTGATAGGAAGGTGGTGAGTCATTCTAGTAATTATTTAAGGTGGACTGGATTTGTTTCCTTCTCTATCAACTCCTTAAATCCCCCAGCAAGGCTGTCCCTAATTACATTTTTGGTTCTTTTTTAAACACAGATAAGGTTTTTCTTTACCTTGCTGACGGTTTTGTTTGCCGACTGCAAAACTTCCTCAGAGCTGACGCTGATGGTGGCGTCACTTCCTACTCCGTTTATCCGCGGGCAGCAGAGGACGTTGTCGCCCTCTGCTGCCCGCTCTCCCCTCTCCGACGATGCAGTCCCATGACCCCCAAATTCCACTACCTCCGCTCCGCTCCGCTCCGACACGAACGCCGGAGCAAAATCGGTCCCGTTGTAGTCAATCAGAGCAATTCCACTACTGCGGCTGTGCTCCGGCAGTGTGGCGCCGTGCGCCGCCCTCTGTTCCGGCGTCCGGCAAAAATAGAATCGATCCTATTTTCGCCGGAGCACCTCCGCAGTAAATGGACAGAAATCACAAACGCCCAACAGGAAAAGGAGCAAGCACAACTTCCGTTTTTCACAATAAATCGATAAACAAAAGGCGTTTTTTGTTTCATATGCACAGGTTTAACAACTTTTAACAACTATCAATGGCGGTTGAACTTTAAATGCACAAAAGTAAGCCATAAATACAGTTTCCACTATCAAAGTAGTCACACTTTGTTGATCCAAACACTGCTGATCTCTCAACACACATGATGGGCAGATTAAACGGTTCATTTCGATGCTTCTCCCACACAACGGCCGTTTGGATCTAACTTCCGCGTTTATTGCTCGGACTGTATCGCAAGATCTCGAAAATCCCGCGCATGCCTGTTTGTGCACCTCAGGTCTCCGCACCGGAGCGGAGCCGTTGTAGAGCGGGTACCAGTAAAAATTGAGTTCGGAAGCGAGCGGCTGCGGAAGGCGGGGGCGGACCGGAGCGGAGGTAGTGGAATTTGGGGGTTAGTAAACTCCATTGTCTCCGTTCATGGTCCCACATCCACGTCTCCTATACGTCTCTATAGCTTCCTTTATCCATCTTTTGTATTTCTAGCCGAGTGTCCCTCATAGATGTCCACAGCTCGGACAGAAATCCCATGTTTGACGTCGTCTCCTGTTTTGTTTCAGGACATTAATGAGATGGTCCACATGGAGCGGCCGGACTGGCAAAGCGTCATGACGTACGTCACAGCCATCTACAAGTACTTTGAGACCTGACTTTCACCGGCTTACCCACAATGCACCTGTAGCACAGTCAGAGCCACATCAGCCTTCCTGAGCTCCCAGCAGCTCTGCCTCCCCCCGTGGTCACGTTAAACCTCACCGATCTCATTCCACAGCAGTCGTCGTGCTCGTCTGCGCCTCACACACACACAGCGTGGGAGCGTCTGCATGTTTACTGGTGAATGAGCACGCCACGAGGAGCGACGCTAACGAGGAGGAGGAGCTGAAAGCAACCAAGTCTGAGTGCCTTTGTCCTAAATGTCTCGTCCTGTCTCCAGGACGTTGGGTCTGTCTTCCACAACCAGGTTATTCTGAGAGGAAGTGGAATATTTTCTCCGTTCATTTTGATGATGGGTGGATTTTTATCCAAATGTGTTACCGATGTGGGAAGTCCCCTCGACTTAAAAGCCCCTCCCTTTGGAAAGACGCTGCCAGTCTTCTGGACGTCTCTGTGTGAATGCCTTTCAAAGGACCAAGTGCCTGTGTGAGTTCTGATGCAGGAAACCAGGAAACGAGCTGCGAGGAAACAGTTTGTAAAGCTGACCGTTCAACAAGTTGCCAAATATGCTTCAGAGACGTTTCTATTTTATGTTTTTTAACTTTTATTTCCAGGATGAAACGGATGTGTTTGAAGCACAAAAGCACCATTTCAGCACCACTAACTCAGTGGAGTCAGACTCGTGTGAGCTCTGCAGGCTTCAGTTAGAACGTTTGGCACATAGAACACACGGCATCACCATGAGGTAGTTCAGTTCCAGCTTTTTCCATCAGAAACATCTCACCCATGCACATATCTGTTTCAGGAACGATTTTAGAAGGTGTGTTGGAGGGCCAGCGCCGTTTAACTGGTGGTGCATGCTGGGAGAACGGAGCCCAGAAGAGCTGGCCCAGGGTTTTTTAGCATCAGCTCTGACTTCATAAAGTCTTTTATGCAGATCAAAATACGAAAGCAGACAGACTGATGTTCACCTCTAGTGGAAACGGGCCAGTCCTCCATCTTTAACATCCTAACATGAGTGTGGTGATGCCATGCGACTCAATGTCAAGCTCTCTAAACCATCAGAACCGACGTCTGAACGAATCATTCTGTCACTGATTTATTCAACTTTTGGGTCCTTTCTGTTTGACTGGTCCTTGTTAGACCAGGGATACTTGCACTGGTCTGAAACCAGTCTCCACCATTGCCCTCTAACTGCTGTGTGTGCTAAATGTGCCTCGACATTACCATTCTCTATTTATTTGCATTGTTTCTTGAATGACCTGCGTTGTGTGCGTGTCTGAACCGATTGCACGCCCAGTAAGTAGCTGCACTGAGATAAGCTCGTTTATATCACTCATTCCTTGCCTTAAGAGTCCAGCCGAGGCTTCTGCTACTGAAAATGTGACGTTTTGAACTCTGCTTTCCTGCCCAGGCACGTGTCTCAGTGGGACGGCCTCGCCTCTGCCTGTGCCTCCTTAGAAACACTATTAGTGATGATTGTGACACCGCTAGGGTCTGGGTCCACGTGGAGGCTCAGCTGTACGCTGTCTGTAGTGTAGGTTTGGCACAAGACTCTGGAAAAAAAACAGCCTGGGTGTTATTTAGTGTTGGTGTTTTACTCTGAAGCTGATCCTGGGTCAGTTGGGCCCGGCAGTGATGTAGAAACAAGCTACATTATGGGTAAATGCCGCTCATCATGCTACATTTATTATTATTATTGTTTACTTGAAGCTAAAATATCCACTAAAACTGCTTTAATTTGGCTTATTTTTTTGTTGCCTTTAGTTTTACAAAACCACTTTTGCTGTTTGATTATTTTTCTTTTTAGTATCACTGATTAATAATGACAATTAAGACTGAGTGTATTTAAAGGAACCGATCTGCAGTATTAGAGATGCATCCTGATAATCAGCTGAAGTGGACTTCAATAAAAACATGAACACACGATTGTTGTCTTGCTGTGTGTTTGATCAGGAGAGAGCTTCCGTTTGGATGCGTGAGTCTCCTCCCACACACACACACACACACACACACACACACACGTCTGTCTTTCTATCATGGTGAGGACAATCCAGTGACTTAAAAGCCAACTGGTAAGCCTCTAAAAAAAGTGAGGACCCAAGAAAAATGTCCTCACTTTGTAAGGAAAATTGTCCTCAGTATGTAGTAAGTACAAGAACACACACACACACACACAAATGTCTATCATAGTGAGGACCATCCACTGACTTCCATTCATTTTTGTGACTATTATGCATAACCCTAACCAATGCTGATCTATTCCTAACCTTAACTAAAACTTAACTCACAACATCTCTCTATAACCAACTGGTAAGCTTCTAAAAAAGTGAGGACCAAAAAAATGTCCTCAGTCGGGAAAATGGTCCTCAGTATGTAGTAAGTACAAGAACGAACACACACACACACACACTCACTCAGAAACATGAGCGTGTTGGAAGGAGAGAGAGACGTCACGTTTCTTTACGTCCTGGCGGAAACTCGAGCTGCAGCGGGGACCAAAGCCGGTTATCAGCGCTAGTTTTGGGGCTTAGAGAGTTTGGAGCATCGGGAAGGTAGGTCCCTTTTATCTCTCACTTCTAAGATCAGAGAAGCTTCGGTTTTCCAGAGAACTCCGTTACTCCTCAGGAGTGATGCTTTCCAAACGGCACTGTGAATAAACTATAAACCTTCTCGTGGTTAAGCGTTCATTCTAACGCCTACTTGTGTGTTTTAGTTATTTGAGCTCCAGATCTAGGCGTTAAAACTCAAAGCTGAAGGATGAAACTGCTCCTCTAAACCAGTCCTGTCCACAAACGGTCTGAAATCACCAGATTAATGTTTCTGGTGACTTTTACGCATGAAGACTACAATCACGTTTGATTGAAAAACATTGTTAGATCGACATGAATGTCAGATCTCTGTAGACGTGGGACAGAAAATGGTTTTGTTTGTTTAATAATGGAAAATATTTTTGTTCCTGTTCTATGAACGCTGCAAGTCCTCTAGTCAGTGAGGACTTGGGGTTTTATAACTATGCATGAGAACCATGTCAGGCTCTTCTGTTCAGACATTTTTTATTTCTCTGAATTTCTCTGAGGTCTCATTAGTAAAATGCCTGTCTTTATCTTAAAGGTGTGGTTGACTGGTAACCATTTTATTGATTATTCCCGATTATAATCGGTCACTCTTCATGCAGACACATGAAAATAGTTTCCTACACCTATCTCCTGCTTTAGCTTCTGGTATAAAATAGACGGTGAAACTCCAGGATTAGAAAATCCTGACAGATCTACGTCACACTGTCACTTAAAGGGACTTTATGGAGTTTTGAATTTTTATGCTCGCGATTGCCCCCTCAGGCCAAAAGTGTAACGGCAGCTTCAATAGTAGGCTCGTGCACGAGGCGTGCATGCTGTACGTGCACACTCCTTAATGAAAATAACAGCTGAGATAGTCCTGTGTGTGTGTGTGTGGCCTGGAGGACAGAGGACAGGAGAACGCGTAGCTAATTAATTAAATAATTTGGTTCTGTACCATTAATGTAAAAAAGAAACTCTAAATAAACTATGTTCACATCCAGTATTGAATCTGGGCTTCATCATGAGAGTCCGACATCTTACTAGGTGAGCTAAAGCGCCAGTGATGTCCTTAGTATCTATAACATTTATATCCTTGATGACAGCTGAAACAACGTTCAAAGAACGGTTCAGAGCAAAAATGGCTATTTTGTTGCTAATTTGCAGGAAATATCTAGAAGAAAGTAGCTAAGGGTCCTCAGAAATGTAGCTAGGTTCATCACTAGGCGTTAGGAACAGCGACGAAGTCGCTGAGTTGGCACTGCCTCACTCTCTGCTGCTAAAGCTATGGATAGCAAAAGCTACGGGCTATGCCTGGGCGTGAACGCGCATGAAGCAGCCTGCTCGACCCGAGCAGCTCTCTTTTTCTGTGATTTTACAGAAAAACAGGCAATCACAGTAAAAATGCCAGGGCTCATTCTACAGGACCAGGGCATTGCAGGAGATTGTATGAAGAAGACATTTAACTTCCATAACGCCTCTTTAACGTTCATGGGGTCAGCCATCTTCACTCACGACGGGGAAGGTTGTTGTCGGTTTAGCGTCCAGACAAAACAGCAGAGGACGTCTCAGCTAGTAGAAGCTAACTGTTAGCATTAGCGACTCCACCACACAGCAGAACTCTTCCAGGCTTGAGGTACTTGTGGCGATAAAACATCAACCCTGCAGAGCAAACTGAGTCAGTGACTGAGTCGTGTTGCAGTTAGCCAATCAGAGAAGAGATGTCCAAATATCAGGAAATAAAACTACAAATCCTGTCCTCTGAAGCTCAACTCTGATCTGGCTCACTTGTAGTTCCTGAAAGATCTGTTGCATTTCTAATATTTTGAGAAGGAGAAGTAGCTGAAGAGTCGTTAAGTAAAAACTGATACCAGTAATTTCCAATATTACATTTTAATACCGATATCGGCTTATAAAATCAAACATTCCTGCACTAATATTATTCTGAACTTTTGGGACTGAAATAAAAATACATAAAACGTGTTTTAATCATATGGAGGACTCTGTAGAGGACAGTCTTGTTGCTTTGGGACTAAATAATGAGCATGTTCCTCTTCCAGGTGGGATCCCACTTCCCAGACTTAATCCCAGGAGTGCCTTGTATTTCTATTTTAGGACAGCTGTCATGGGAGAATCACTGCTGTCCTCAGTTGTCCACAGTGTCCCTTTTGTCCTCACATGGCTGTTGATGCATCTTTATAATCTATAGAAACATCTGAGCCATCAAAACATCTCTATGTGAGACCGGTGCAACAGAAGCCGACGTGAAAACACGAGCTGTGACTGTAAGAAGGTCTTTAACTCGTCTCAGAGGGGGAAGCCTGACTGGGAGAGCAGAGACCTTTATGTTCCAGCACAGCTGTTATCTCTGAAAAAGCTTTTCCTCCGAGGGAGTTCAGCACCACAGAAACATGGTGTCTCGTATCTGGGACTCTCTCTGAGATAAGAGAGCATCCTGATCTTTTAGGATCCGCTCCTGCGGACCGAGACGACTCCCGGTGTGAGAAAACTGGTCCAGCGTCAGTGACCTTCAGAGTACCGTTGTACCACAGCGTGTGATTTCTGGTGACGCTGCTGTCGCTCGTCTCTGCTCACATGCACAGTGAGACACAAACTGCCCCTCTGCTCCTCTGCAGGGTCAACAGGGGCTGTGTATAAAAGCATCAGTGGGCAAAACTTCCACAGCTCTGAACAGGAACAGAGACTTTAATAAAGACCCATATCATACAATCAAAGCAGGAACATCAGTTATCTGAAGCTAGGACAGGAAGTAAAAGTGTCTGAAAACCAGATCTTGCAGCCAACATTCAGTCACTTTGTTTAATACTGTTTTACTTCTGGTCGTCTGGCCTACAGCAGCGTTCCAGTGATGTCTGTCCATGGCATCATCTCATCCCGTTAAGGAATCATGGGAGAGCAGCGCTGATGGGAAGGAGCTCAGAGGGAGAGGAGCTTTTTCAGGATTCCTGACCAGTTTCAGCTGTTGGATCTGAGCAGATGTTTCTGTGCTGCTCGTGGACGTTTGAGTAGACACTGGAGGTGTGGAGGCTCAGCGGCTGGCAGGCTGCAGCTATGGACGTTGGGAGGCTTCCTCCCTCCTCATCAGTGACGTCACCGTCTGTGTCACCATGCCTGACGACCTCGCCGCCTCTGCCATCTACATCATCCTGGAGCTGCTGATCGCCGTGTTCTCTGTGCTGGGTAACGTCTTGGTCTGCTGGGCCGTGTGCCTAAACAGCAACCTGCAAACCATCACCAACTTCTTCGTGGTCTCCCTGGCTGTGGCAGACATCGCTGTTGGCGTCCTGGCCATTCCCTTCGCCATCGTCATCAGCACCGGCTTCTGCTTTAACTTCTTCGGCTGTCTGTTCATTGCCTGCTTTGTGCTGGTTCTCACACAGAGCTCCATCTTCAGCCTGTTGGCCATCGCCGTAGACCGCTACATAGCCATCAAGATCCCACTCAGGTCAGTGCACAAGAAGACTCCCGTCACTTGCAGCTAATAGCATTGTGTTAATTACTTTTAGAGAGCTGAGACCCTGCAGACACGACCTGAGGTTTAGTGAGGGTCTATCTGAATCAGAGCAGTAGATGAATAACTTTGATACTTTCACAGAGCTCAGACTGAACCCAGACCTGCTTTATAATCAGATAATATCATAAATATTACTAATTCTAATGCTGAATGACACAAACGTACTAGTACTGGCTTTACTGCGTCTCAAACTAACATTAAGATGTTTTTATGATGAACATCTGTCCAAGCTGCAGATGTGGGTTTGTGTTCTAGAAATTATATCAAACAACCAGTTACAGAGTGTTATTTTTATATCTTCATATATTCCTCCCCCTTCTCTACTACACTCTCTTAGTAAGCTAGCACCAATGTGGAGAACCTGATTTTACCCGTTCTGCTCTCCAACATCGTTTGTAGGGATTTTAAAGGTCTTGTCAAGTCCAGGGGAAGAGGGCAAGACTAAGCACACATCCCTGTGGAGCTCCTGGGGTTAGGACCAAGTTTAGGGGGATTTTGTTGCAGATCCTGATAGATTGTGGTCCTATTGTGTGCAGAGGTGGGTAGAGTCGTCAAAAGATTGTTCTCCAGTAAGAGTAGATTTACTTTAATCTAACCAAACTCGGTGAAGAGTAAAATAGTCTTTGGTAGAAGGCTACTCGAGTACTGAGCAGCTTATACCAGCTGAATTCATTTGTTAAAACTATTTAACCTGATAGATAGAAATATAAAGTTATGAGTAAACTCATGTTGTTTAAAGAAAATAAATAGTAAAAAAAAAATTATAAAAAACAAAACAATAGACACCAATCCAACTCTTCAATGGGTAATATATATAAATAAATAAAAATCTAAAGTAAAATACTGTAGAAGTACTCCTAAATGTGCACTTGTTTCAAAATGTTACTCAGGTAAATGTAACTGAGTAAATGTAACTAGTTACTACCCACCTCTGTCTGTGTGATGCTGGGAGGCTCTCAGGAGAGTCCTAGCCCAGTTCACGTCGGATTGGGTTTTACCATGTGCAGTAACGATTGGCCTCTAGTCTGTTTTTGGCTTCTGGCAGTAAAAATCTCACAGAGATGGTTCATATTTAATTCCTGAACATGAAGGAAGTCTTGGCTGAATGAGTGAGTTCAAAAGTGGAGGGTCCCATGGGAGTGTGTCCCCCTGGAGCTGTGATAAATACAGCTATGATTGCTTCTGCAGGCTGTGCGATTCCCTGTAACACTCTGAGTAATCCGACTTTGCGGTAACAGCAGCATCAGACTTAGATCCGACCTACCAGGGTCTGCAGATATCTGATTAATAAGAGCTGCTGCAGCACGGGTTGTGGGTTTCACATTGGGACGCTGACCTCAGAGATTCACCGAGCCACGCAGCCTTCCTCTTCCACTCACACGGCTCCTTCCTTCGGCTGAGGAGACGCTACGTGAGGGTTCCTCTGCTTTCTTTTGTGTCACTAGTGGGATGGCTTGGCGGGGGGTGGAGGGGGGTCATGTTTTTGCAGCATTAACCTTTTGCTCTTTCACATCTTAAGAATGCGACAGAAACAAGCCAAACGTCTCAGCTGCTCTCCCACACTGCACACACTCAAAATAGACTCCTTCCCTTCAGAACCGCTGAACAGCCCTCTTAGTTCATCTCTCTCTTTGTGTAATTCCTGAATGGGAAGGAAATGATCTGTTTTGGAGTTTTTGCCATTGACTCCTGTGAGGATTTTCATCAGAGACGTCTCCCAGAGGACTCTGGTACTGCAGCTGACGTCTGTCCCGTCTCTCTCCAGGTACAACAGTTTGGTGACTGGCCAGCGAGCTCGGAGCATCATTGCCATCTGCTGGGCTTTCTCCATCATCATTGGTCTGACTCCCATGATGGGCTGGCACAAGCTGCCCAGGAGCTCTAATGAGACCTGCTCTCCGGGCCTGATTAGGTGCCTGTTTGAGGAAGTGGTTGACATGGAGTACATGGTCTACTTTAACTTTTTTGCTTGTGTGCTCATCCCCCTGCTGCTCATGCTGGCCATCTACCTGTGCATCTTCATGGCGGCGCGCCATCAGCTGAAGCTGATTGAGATGAAAGCATGCCACGGAGAGAAGTCGCGCTCCACTCTCCAAAAGGAGGTCCAGGCTGCCAAGTCCCTGGCCATCATCGTCGGCCTGTTCGCCATCTGCTGGCTGCCGCTGCACATCATCAACTGTTTCACTCTCTTCTGCCCGCAGTGCCAGCGCCCCCCCCTCTGGATCATGTATGTGGCCATCATCCTTTCTCACGCCAACTCCGTGGTCAACCCCTTCATCTATGCCTACCGCATCCGGGAGTTCAGGCAGACCTTCCGTAAGATCATCCGGCGCCACATCCTGGGCCGGCAGCCGATGCTGGAGAGCAGCGGCAGTGAGCGCAACTCGGCTCACAACAGCATCACAGACTCCGTCAGACTCAAGGCTAACAGCCCCAGCTGTGACCTTTTCACAGAGCGTAGCAACAGCTGTAAAAACTCCTACTGGTGCCCCACTGCCTTCTCACCTGTAGGGGGCAGTCTGGTGGCCGTGTCTCACCCCTCTCTGTCAGTGGTCATCTCCCACTGCCCTCAGACGAGGCTGCGTGCTGTGGATGCCCTCAGACAGCCTGAAGCCCCGCTGGCCCGTCAGCTACAGCCTGAGGGGAGAGAGCAGGGCTGCACAGGAGCTGAGGTTCTGGACAGGAAGGACAAACAGAACCTGGACTCAGCGCAGATCTCACCGCTGTTCAACAAGCAAAACAGGAAGAAGTGCCTCTGTGAGTTGGGAAGGTTGTCCTGACGTAGGCAGACTCGGTCAAATCCAAGGTCAGCTCAGGCTCTGAGATGCACTGGGTGTTAGAGCCAGCGAGGACAATCAGCAAGGAGGAGGTATCCACATTTCAATCTGATGAGAAAAGGCGATTGTGCAGCTCATCTGGCTGCTTCCACAGCAGAACCCAGAGAACTTCTAGTCCTTCACCATATGTCTCAAACATGCATGTTTTCCTTCTTCTGAGCTGCAGCACCAGAACGTCCTCATAGAGAGAAGATGGAGGGACTGGTATCTGATAACGTCCTGTGTCACAGAGGTGAGCTGCCTCTAACACCAACACCCCGCTTCATGTCAGTAGGGCCGAGCTCCGATTGCAGCTGCAGCCATGAGCCCGTAGCCACAAATGGCTGTGACGGTCCGGTCTAGTACAACAGGGACAGACAGTTACAGTACAGTAACTGAAAAATGTGTTCATATTTGACGTTTAATCTGTGCGGCGCTCTGCCCGTAGCACAATAGCTGTTTCAAAAATGAACACATTTTTCAATTACTGTACTTGTAAACTGCCAAAACAAGTGTTGACCTATCAAAAAACCTTTAATGTAACCACAAGGTGTGGTTATGGAGTCCGTCCGGGCAGTGGGTGCTGTCACAGCAATTCATAGCTAACGCCATTGGCTGTTCTCAGCTACGAGATAGTCACAGCCATTTGTGGCCAAGGGCTCGACCTCCCTCCTTAATGTGGACATAACAAGTGCTTTAGGCTGGAGCCGACTGGTCCAGTGAGGGCTGAACAAACCCCGCAAACACTCCAGTGATGTTCTGTGTTCTCTCCAGGAACTCTGGCCGTCCAAGATGAGCTTTAATAATAAGGTCCAACAACAACAACAACATGTTTCTAATTGTTCTTTTATGGAAACGCACGTTTTACTTAATAAAGCAGCAACAAGCAGACTACTGTTTCCACATCTCATATCCTCTGACCATCAGATTTTATCGTGATTTGTGTGTTTTTCTAAATAAAAGTAAAGAAAAGCAGAAGTTTTGCTTCTCCTTGCACCCACTGCTTCCTTCCTGTGGGCCTCGTGCTGTTTCTGATCTGATCAGACTCAGACGGCTTTGCTGATGCTTTGTAGGAACGCTGCGGCCGGAAGTTTGAATCAGATCAGGGGGATGGAAACAAGTAATTTGTTTTGCTCTCAAGTATAAACGATGAGAAGTGACTCAGGAAAATCTTTCACTATCTCCCGCATCTTCTGATGAATTTGTTTAAGATGAGCTGTTTGTGTCCCTGTCTCCTTGAGTGTCCTCTAGTGGGGCCATGTTCTGCTGAAGAATCCCAGTCCTGATTCAGACGGGATTAAGACCAAACTTAGATCAAATTTAGATGTAAGTCAGAAGTGATTCAGACTAGATTCAACATGATTTAGACCCGGTTCATGTTTAAATCCTTTCAAGGAGAGAAATGTGTCATTCTTCTGAGTTGGTGATCTTAGTTCATGTTGATAAGATATTCTAAGTCTTTCAGTTACCTCCGAGTTTCTGTTTCGCAGCTTTTATCCCAGCTGGGTTCCAACAGGATCCAGGATTTAGATTTTGTAATGAATCTCCACCAGTTCCCTGAGTCCTGGTGTTCTGCTGCTGACCTGAGAGAGATGAGGGTTAGTTTCCATGACAACAGCATCAAACCCTTTAGATAATTCCGACCCACCCAATTTAAAGGCCAGCTGGTAATTTAATATTTGTCAGCCTTTTTAATAAATAGAACAAGAAGTATTTTCTTTCATGTAAATGAGTGTGGTCTGCTGATCTCCATCCATCGGGTCGTGGGGCAGCAGCCTAAGCAGAGAGGTTCAGACTTCTCCCCAGCCACTTGGGCTAGCTCCTCCAGAGAAATCCAAGGTGTTCCCTGGTCAGCCAACATAGTCTCTCCAATGTGACCTGGGTCTCCCTTTAGGTCTCTTCTTTGGACGTGCTTGATGCAGGACCTCATCCCTGACCTGGAGAAGGCATTCTACCTTTTTCCAATTCAAGTCTATGGTCTCGGATTTAGAGGAGCTGTTTCTCATCCCAGCTGCTTCACACTCTGCTGCAAACTGCTCCAGCAGAAGCTGGAGATCACGTTCTGATGAAGCCAACAGGACCACGTCATCTGCAAAAAGCAGAGACCTGATCTTTAATCCACCAAAACGGATCTCCTCAGCACCTTGGCTGCTCCCTAGAAATCCTGTCCATAAAAGTTCAGGAGGCAGCTGATAGTTGATCACTGAACTGCAGGCTAAGATATCCTGGTGCCAAGAGCACATATGGACACCTTTATGTCTGAACATTGATGTTCATTATGGACAATCCATGACGAGCGCAGAAGTCTAATAACAAAAGACCGCTTGGATTCAGATCGGGGGATGTGTGCCTCACTTCCCATGTGAGCGTTAAAGTCCCCCGGCTGAAAGAGGGAATCACCAGCTGGAGCACTCTCCAGCACCCCATCCAAGGACTCCAAAAAGTGTGGGTAGTCTGAACTGTAGTTTGGTGCATAAGCAGAAACCACAGTCAGGACCCGTTACCCCACACAAAGGAGGAGGGAGGCTACCCTCTCGTTCACCAGGGTAAACCCTAACGCACAGGCACCAAGATGTGGGCAACTAGTATGCCATCCCTGCTCGACGCCTCTCAGTGGGAACAACTCCAGAGTGGTAGAGTGTCCAGCCGCTCTCGAGGAAACTGATTTCGGAGCCAGATGTGTTGAGGTGAGTCTGATAATATCTAGCTGGAACCTCTCAACTTCACACACCAACCCAGGCTCCTTCCCCACCAGAGAGGTGACATTTCACGTCCCGAGAGCTAGCTTCTGCAGCCGAGGATCAGACCGCCAAGGTCCCCGCCTTTGGCCACCACATTTAAATATGGGTATACATTTAAATCAGGGGTGGAAATTTAACACATTAATCATATTTAAATCAATGGGGGGGGGGGGGGGGGGGTTGAAATAATAAAGCCTGAGCGTTTCCCTGGGGGCTGAAAAATGTAGCACTAAAAGTATGTCTTATCTATCAATAAATATCATCAAGCTGCTCCTCTAAAATAAAATGCTGAGCCTGAGCTACAAGACATTTTTTACTCATTCTAAACACAACTAAAACTACTATTAAATGAATCATGACAAATAGCTTCATGAAGAAAAATTAAAAATGTACTTTTTTACCGTTTTCTAGTTGGTACAAAGCAGGCAGTAACTTTATCCATATGAACATTACTACAGCAGGAGCGATGAGCGTACATTACACAAAGCATTCATCTTGAGACCCTCAGCAGAACTTCTTCTGAACTCTATACTACACCTCTGTTAGCAGTGATCTGCTGCCACCTGGTGTTCAGTTCACTACACAACATTTACAATGTTCCATGTCCTTCATCACTTCAGCAGTAACACATATACTAATATTTACACATCCCTACAAATCCCACAGTGGTTACCTTTATAATGAGACCAAAGCAATCAGATAGACCTTGTGGTTGCAGAAACATACTCATCAAAGTGTGGGTCTATCATCTGTGATTAATCAAGATTAATTAATTACAAAGCCACTGGTTAATTAGATAAAAAATTAATCAAGCATCATCCATCCCTAATTTAAATACAGGTTTAACAATTACAATAGTTTAAATCTGGTATCAGGATTTGACATCATTTATCAGGTACAAAAATATTATTTTATTTTTGGAATTTCTCTGTGAATTTTTCATTAATTTGAGGCAGAAAGGGCAATATTTTAACACAAGATCATAACTTTCACCTTTTTATTCAAACATGTTAGATTGTCTTTGAATCCTTAGTTTAGTAGATTTTATTTTTAGCTAAATTCAATAAGAGATACAAACTAAAACATGTTTTACTGAGTGGCTGACTCAACAGTCAAAAGGGTCATTTATAGGGCGATTGTTAGCCTAGTGAACTAGACCAAATTCTTGCTTTGCAAAGTTTGGTCTAGGAATGCTCCACTGGAACCTCTGCAGCCCCAACAGCATTCTGGCTGACCAATCACAGCTCTCTAGAGGGGTTTCAAACACATAAAGAGCTGTGATTGATCCATAATGGTGGGCCAATCATAGTGCTCTATCTGCTTAGTGAACAAATCACAGAGCTTTATCCGCTTTGTGGGCCAATCAGGGCCCTCTATATGCCTGGTGGATGGGATGATGCAACAGAGTGAAACAAGAGTATGTCACATTCGTTGTCCAGTGGAATGCGGAGATCATTTGAAAGACAACGGTAGAACCCGCCCCACAACCAAGAGCCGTCAATGGAGCGTTGCCAGACTAAATAATACATTTATTTAGTCTTGCTTGCCAGGCTAGGCGATTGTTGGTTTGTAGCCTAAATTAAGAAAAAGTCTGAAAATATAAAAACAAGTAAAATGTTTGAAAAACATGAAAAATAGAAAGTGAAAAAAATAATTCAAAAATAGGTTGATTAATCCATCATCATCATCATCATCATCATCATCATCATCATCATCATCATCATCATCATCATCATCATCATCATCATCATCATCATCATCATCATCATCATCTTCTTCATCATCATCTTCATCATCTTCATCACCAAACTTCACCTTCCTGGCTCCTAAATGCTGACGGAGTGGAGTTAGAAGAGTACTGCCCGTCATCTGTGACACAACACAGAACAAAGACGATGGATGCCCTTTTATTATAAAACCACACAGAAACATTTTAGATTTGATATGAAATATTTACTTTATATTATTTCTGAACATTATATTCAAATAAAAAAAACACCTGTAAAATAAACTCCTCAGATAAATGCAAGAAAACTGGTCTTTCTCCTGTCATCAACGTGCAAAAAAACAGCTCTGACGTGGAGTCTGTGTGGGGGGTTTCCATGGCAACTAGCATCAACAGGCCTTTGTCTCCTCATTTATAGGACTGCAGCTTTGTGAGGGGAAGGAAGAGGTGGAATCAATAAATAAATGGTGTGTGTGTGTGTGTGTGTGTGTGTGTGTGTGTGTGTGTGTGTGTGTGTGTGTGTGTGTGTGTGTGTGTGTGTGTGGAATAAGACTATGACTAGAGTTCTGGTCAGTTGGAGCTCTCAGCACTACAGCATGTTTGTCACTGTTCTGTTTGGAGGTTAGTATTATGGGATGTTGTATATTTCTCGTGCTTTTTGTTGTTTTGACATCTTTCTTGTCAGACTGCAGGATGAAGATGTTGAATCTGAACTGTAGGCTGATTAACTTTCTCCATCACCTGAAGAGTCGGTGTGGTCTGGCGTCTGAAGGTACCACTCTGGAACATTTTGGATCAGGGTGTGAAGACAAACCCACCAGGTGGTGTTCCTGCTGCAGATTGTGTTGACCTGATGGACAGCAGCGGTCGAGTGATGAACCTGGATGTGAAGCAGCACAGCGAGAATCCAGCCAGCTGCTTCCTGACAGAGAGACAACTCTACGTCCTGCTGCGGGTCCACAGTGAGTCTGTCTGCTCCTCCGTCACAAATCTGTCATTCATGATTTATTGTTTTTGTGTTTTAACTCAGGAGACGATGAAACTGGAGGCTGCAGATACGTTTCTCTCCTGGACCACTCTAACCAGCACCAGCCTGAGCTAACAGGTGGCTCTCTGAGGCTCTCTGCTGGAATAAACATGTCTACAGTTTTTGTTTCAGTCTGATTGGATGGTTTGTTACAGAGCTGATGAAGAAGCTGTCAAAGCTGAACAAGGAGCCAGAACGAAGGAGAGGAAGAGGAGGGAGCAAAAAGATCTCAGTTAAAAAGAAGCAATGAATTATTCTAATCTTCTGTGTTCCAACCAAGCCCCCACAATGGAGCTCTAAAATTGAGTCAAACCCGGAAGTACCAAAAATTGCAGTTCCACCCTCATCCGCTGGGGGCTGGTGTCAGAAGCGAGCAAATCCTCATTGACTCCCATGTTAAAAATACCAATTTCACAGCAGAAATAAACATGTTTACAGCCTGGTACCAAAACATGTTTTTGGTTTAAATGATCTAGTTTACACTCATGACAACTCTGAGGGGGGTGGACTTTTTTCTCACTCTTCTGTTTAAGTGTATTAAAAGCCTAAAATTCTGTATAATTAATGAACATCAGACCCACGTGACCGCAGAGCTAGCTCCGTGGAAAGGCCTCAGTAGAGCCTCGGTCTGGCCTGGAAACTGTTCCGGGATTTTGAGTCTCTGTGTTTGTGTATTCTTTTTTGGATAATTTTTGTGCAATTGTTGGACAAAATGACTTGCTGTGGCATTAATTGCACTAATAGAGCGTCCAAGGAGTCTCCACTTCATTTTTTTCGGTGAGTAAAATTATATTTATGTATTTTAGGTCACTGCCGAGCTGAGCTTAGATTTTAACATGTACTGTTTGAAATTTAAATGTAATAGGGTAAAACCCAGTGCATTTAACATAATGCTGCACTTTAGAAAATGGGTTGAAATATATCATGTTGGTGGAGCTGGGTTCCGACTATCGGCTTGTGGAGCTCTCGGGAGACCGATGTTTTCCACCCGTTTCTCCCCTCCCCGCAGCCCGGTGCATCTCTGTCTGATTGCGGCTCCTGTTTCCACCCGGTTCTCCCCAGCGGCAGCTCTGCGCATCTCAGACCGCAGCGGCACTTGTCTGCTGTGCGGCTGCCAGCTTGTGGAGGTCTCGGAGACCTCTGTGTTCCACCCGGTTTTACCCAGCAGTCAGCCCGGCGTACCTCTGACTCAGAAGCTCTGGTGTTGTGCACAGTTAACTCCGGTTGTAGCTAGGTTGCTAACTCCGTTAGCTTAGCTCCCACCTCCGCGTTAGCTTTGGGTTAGCCAGGGTTAGCTTCAGATTAGCTTGTAGCTAGTTCGACCGGGTGTCGTCAGTCGATCCCAGCCTTACAGCCCCGCCCTCAGCTCCTCCTCTCTTCCCTTTTATGGAATTGTCTGGGCTTGACGGAACCTGTGACACGGTCAAAATGGCGGTGGTGGCCACCTCCCATTTGGCCTCAAAAAGTGATATTGGAGTCTATGGAAACCCATTGTCCATATATTAATGTTGATGGTTCCAACTGAAGGAATCAATCTTCCACCTGCTCCATCTAATCTGATCTTCTGACTTTAATGATCTGTTAGATTACTGGGCCTCAGGAGGGAGAACGGCTTCTAGAACATAACAAAACTCACATAAAACAACTTCAGCATTTGAGCTTCTAACGTAAGAATAAACGCATTCCTTTATTGCAGAGAAATGGCTGACGTAATGATTTGGGTAGATCCACCCCATTGCTACCTTTAGTTTTGTGTTTGCCTTGTAGAGGTTCTGATGGAGGGAAAACACTCTGTCCTCTGATTTTCTTCTTTAATACACTTCATCCCATTTGAAGCACAGATTTGTGTCTGCTGTGGGATGGTGAAACATGCGGTGGAGTGTGACTCTGCAGCGGGGGGGGGGGGGGGTTTCAGGTCAAAGGTTAAGCTCAGTAATGTGCAGCTGGTTATTTAACCAGTGAAATGGAGAACAAGCAGTCAGCGAGCAGGAGGAGAGAAGCAGCTGCAGTGGCTAAAGGAAGCGTTAACATGTCCTCGTGTGAGTTTGAGTCTCTGGAGAAGTCCCTGGAATCTCACCTGCCGGAGGCCGAGCTGGTCCAGGTGAAGAGGATCTTATATGGGAAGGAAACGCGGTGAGTTTAAGTGCTTTTGTTGTATTCATGCTGTCTCACTCTGGCGATCTTATTTGTTCTAGGTCAATAATTATTCTGCAGACTGGACTTTGTTCAGAGCTCTGGAGAACACACCTGGACATTTTTCCAGTCTGAAGAAAGAACATCAGACTTTCTGTTCACGTCTGAGCAGGTTTCAACAGAAACATGTTTATTCAAACCTCATTAGTACTAGAATTATAAAAACATTATTTACTTGTAATTTTTAGACTAATATTAGCTGTTTCTTTGGGAAGCAGATGTATTTCATTCTCATGGTGTAATGTGTACAAATACATTTAGATTTAAATTACAGGAGGACATTTGTTCAGTTGACCTTTAGTGTTGTCTATACTCTATAGATCTGCAGATAGAGATCATTAGAGTAAAGGTCTGATGTGACCCAAAACAGATCCAGCCCTAACATCTCTTCTTACATCCAGATACTTGGGCTAACGTGAAAGACGAGATGTTCTTGTAGATGGTTCAGACCTCTACTTACTTCTAGAGGAAAGCTTCATTTGCAGACTTTCAGCATGCTTCAGGTTTTCACTGGACCTGCAGGGGTGCCCAACCCGGGTCCTTGTCCAACTATACCACATATTTGAGTTGTTTCTCCTGCTTCATCACACCTGATTTATATGTTAGTCAGTGTTTTAAGCTCTTGGTGATCAGTCGCTGATTAAACTTGAGGTGTGCTGAAACAGAAACCTCTAAACCATGATGGACGGTGGCCCATGAGGACCAGGGTTGGACACCAGAGATGTAGAGGTTTCTAGAACCTCCACATTACTCTGGAACTGTCCAGTCTTGATCTACATGTAGCTTAAAATGTTCTCTGATAACCTATTTGTGCTTGTTCTTCCTTCACACTCTCACTAAGTGAGGGCAGCAGTAGCTCAGGAGGTAGAGCGGGTTGTCCGGTAATCAGAAGGTTGTAGGTTAGATCTCGGCTCCCGCCAGAGAATGCTGCTGTTGTGTCCTTGGGCAAGACACTTAACCCAACTTGCCTGCTGGTGGTGATCAGAGCGACCGGTGGTGCCTGTGTCTGGCAGCCTCATCTCTATCAGTGCGCCCCAGGGCAGCTGTACAATGTAGCTCATCACCACCAGTGTGTAAATGTGTGTGTTAATGTGTTGTGAAGCGCCTTGGGGGGTCTGATTTGGCACCTTGCCAACATGATGTTGCCGCCACCGTGTTTCTCAGGGGAATGTGACTATGGTATTATAAAGCTGCCTGTAGATAACACATTCCTGGTTAAATTCCTGAAAGCTGATGAGGAATCTGATCCGTAACAGGAAGTTGGAGCTCCCAGTGTCGGCTCTCCAAGCTGCTTCTGAGCACGACTTCGAGCTGAAAGGGTACCAGTTTGATGCTTCACAGGAGCAACTCAGACCGCCCAGAAGAACCCGGGTGGGACTTGTTCAGCATCGCATTGTTTTACCCACTGATGCCCCGATCCTGGACCAGGTCAGGATTTAACAGGTCACCACATCCACCTGTCTGCTGCATGGATGGTTCCTAACAGCACACAAGTCTCTTGTCTCCTCAGATCAACGCCATGCACACTCGAATTGGTGTAATTGCTGAGGTGGCAGCCATGTGTGGCGTGAACATCATCTGTTTCCAGGAGACCTGGAGTGAGTGCCTTAAGGCGTCAGATTACACATTTATGAAGTTTTCAGAGACAAACGATGGTCTTTGTGCCCACAGCCATGCCCTTTGCTTTCTGCACCCGAGAGAAAGAGCCGTGGACGGAGTTTGCAGAGAGCGCCGAGGAGGGAATCACCACACGCTTTTGCCAAGAGGTGAGAACACACAGACTAACACGACGCCCTGCAGAACACCGGCCTGATGTCTGATTCTGGCATCAGCTCGCCAGAAAGTACAACATGGTGGTTGTGTCTCCAATCCTGGAGAGAGAGGAACTGCACGGCACTCTGTGGAACACAGCGGTGGTGATCTCCAACTCTGGAAATGTGATGGGAAAGAGCAGGAAGAATCACATTCCCAGGGTCGGAGACTTTAATGAGGTTAGCAGATACACTACATCTGTCCAGAACACCGATAAAAGAAAACCCACGAGCTACAAGTTCTGCTCTCTCCACTCAGTCCACTTACTACATGGAGGGCGACTCGGGACACACGGTGTTCCAGACGCAGTTTGGGAGGATTGCTGTGAACATCTGCTACGGACGTCATCACCCCCTCAACTGGTTCATGTACAGCATGAATGGAGCTGAGATCATCTTCAACCCCTCTGCTACTGTTGGTGTCCTCAGGTAGGACGCAGCCTGAGCCCCTGTCTCCTCAGACTCCTTCTTTTATGTTTGAGTCGTAAACATTTTGAAGGAAGTTAGTCAAGGTTTCTGTGTTCCATACAGCGAGCCCATGTGGCCCATCGAGGCCCGTAACGCTGCCATAGCCAACCACTGCTTCACCTGTGCCATCAACCGCGTTGGGACGGTAAGTCCTCGCTGTCACACCTCTACACGGTCACTAATGGAAGCCGATGGAAAAACGCTTGCTTTCTACAGGAACAGTTCAAAAGTGAATTCACATCAGGTGATGGAAGGAAAGGTAGGTGTGAATCCAGGAGTTCATCCTTTACGCTGCTGCCGCTGGTTGGAGACGGTTTTCCTGCTCTTCCAGCTCACCATGACTTTGGACACTTCTACGGCTCCAGCTACGTAGCGGCCCCTGATGGCAGCCGCACCCCGGGCCTCTCCAGGACTCGAGACGGCCTGCTGGTGGTGGAACTGGATCTGAACCTGAACAGACAAGTCAGCGACAAATGGTCTTTCAAGGTGACTCACTGAACAAATCCTCTCAGGGTGCTGAGGCCTTACCTCAGTTCTGTTGAAGCTAAAAGAGAAGTTAATCCTCTGTATAAAACTCAGTCTAAATGTAAGTAATTAGTTACTTTTCACCAAAGTTTAAACTCAACAAACCTTGAGCGAGTTTTACTTGCTTGGACTGGACATCTGTCTGGTTATGAAGGTTAGTTTTTCCACACGCGATCATTCTGAACCTTTGCTTGTTTTTGCAGATGACCGGGCGGTATGCAGAGTACGCAGAAGAACTTCAACGTGCCATCAGACACGACTTCACACCCAAAATAGTGAAGGAGTAGAAGCAGAAACAGGAAATCACATTTCTGTTCATGTCTGAGTCTAATTTAGATCAATCTCTAATAATTTCATCATGCAACGTTGATTATCATGTATCAACTACATCTGAATTCATGATCTCAGAGAAGTGTCGAGTCGACCCCTCCAGCGCTGCAGCACGATAAATACACCCGAAATGGCCTCAATCTCATTTTTTCTCGCTAGTAGTTTGGTGATTGAATGGGGAAAATTCTGTGCATTTACCATAACACTGTTTGGTCTAAGATGGGTTGAAATCGGTTGAAATATAACGTGTTGGTGTGGCTGCTGGGTATCTGACCGAGGATTGGGCTTTGCTGCTCCGCTGAGGTGAAAGAGCCGCAAGTCCGCCGTTCTCGTCTCCGGTCGGGAGCGAGACACAAAACCGTGAGTCCCAGGGCCGCGTGCGTTGACAACAGCGGACTCGCAGATTTTTGACCGTGGTGGACCAGCAAAGCCCGATATCCTCTATCAGCTTACCTAGTTATGCTTTTGTTACCAAGCAGGCTGGAGGCGACCACGTTGGAGTGGTTCTACGTTTTTCTTGTTAAAAATGGCTCAGTTAGCTTTGGGTTAGCATGTAGCTAATGTCCCGCTGATCCATGGAGGATGAGCTGATCTGAAAGGCCAGGGCTCCCGGTCATAGCGGTCTGGCTCTGCTAGTAATTTAACAGTCAGTCCATATTAGATCTCCACAGGCGGCCAGCATGACTACAGCCTCGCACTGAAGCCAGTCGGCTGTGCGGGTGGGCTACCCCTTGGTCCTCGGTGCCATTGTTAGCTTTTTGGGTTAGCTAAGTTAGCTAGTAGCTAGAATGGTTTAATTTGTTCCAACCATGTTCTAATTGTAACAGCTCCACCTCTTTTCTCATTTTTGGACTGTTTGGGCGTGACTTGGTAATAACCATCAGTGGTGGGAATCTCCCATTTTTGGCTTCAACTTCCCCCCCCCCAGCAGAGCAATGGGTGGGCTATGTCCATATTTTTATATGTCAATGATCTTCTGTGTTGTGGATTTCGAGAAGGCTTATGACCGAGTCCCCAGGGGCACCCTGTGGGGGATGCTCCAGGAGTATGGGGTGGGTAGCTTTCTGTTAAGGGCCATTCAGTCCCTTTACCAGAGGAGCGTGAGTTTGGTCCACATAGCCGGCAGTAAGTCGGACCTGTTCCCGGTGAGGGTTGGACTCCGCCAGGGCTGCCCTTTGTCACCGGTTCTGTTCATCACTTTTATGGACAGAATTTCTAGGCGCAGCTGTGGTGTGGAGTGTGTCGAGTTTGGTGGCAGGAGAATCTCGTCTCTGCTTTTTGCGGATGATGTGGTCCTCCTAGCTTCATCCAGCTCTGACCTTCAGCTCTTGCTGGGTAGGTTCACGGTCGAGTGTGAAGCGGCTGGGAGGAGGATCAGCACCTCCAAATCTGAGACTTTGGTTCTCGACCGGGAAAGGGTGGCTTGCCAACTCCAGGCCGGGAGAGAGGTCCTACCTCAAGTGGAGGAGTTTAAGTATCTCGGGGTCTTGTTCACAAGTGAGGGTAGGAGGGATCGGGAGATCGACAGGCCGATTGGTTTGGCATCTGCAGTGATGCGGACGCTGAGCCGATCTGTCGTGGTGAAGAGGGAGCTGAGCCAGAAAGCCAGGCTCTCGATTTACCGGTCGATCTACGTCCCAATCCTCACCTATGGTCACGAGCTTTGGGTGATGACCGAAAGAACGAGATCGCGGATACAAGCGGCCGAAATGAGTTTCCTCCGTAGGGTGGCCGGGCTCAGCCTTAGAGATAGGGTGAGGAGCTTGAACATTCGGGAGGGACTCGGAGTAGAACCGCTGCTCCTCCGGATCGAAAGGAGTCAGTTGAGGTGGTTTGGGCATCTGGTCAGGATGCCTCCTGGACGCCTCCCTGGGGAGGGGTTTCGGGCATGTCCTGCCGGCAGGAGGCCCCCGGGTCGACCCAGGACATGTTGGAGAGGTTACATCTCCATTCTGGTCCGGGAACGCCTTGGGGTCCTGCCGGAGGAGCTGGTGGAGGTGGCTGGGGAGAGGACGGTCTGGAGCTCCCTAGTTGGAATGCTGCCCCCACGACCCGGACCCGGATAAGCGGAGGAGGAGGACGACGACGATGATCCAACCCTAAATTTAGTCATTTCAAATTTTAACCCACTGACAAGTTTTATTTTAATAATATTCAAAATAAAGTTATTCAAAAGAGTTTCATTAGGTCTTGAGTACATTGCTCAAATTTATTGATTCAGCTTATTTGTGCATATTTAATGACTCAACATAATGTTGGTAAAATGCTATTATACATGTTGTACAAGTTTGGTGTTCATTTTTTCACACTTGTTTATCTACTGTGGTGAACCGTACAGTTTTATTGAAAATTTCTTTTTAGAAGCCAGATAAACTGGGTTATAGATGCATGTACTGTCTTCACATAAATATATAAAGAAATGATGGTAAAATGTATTCTACTGAACATAATAGATCATCATTCAAAGCATAAACAGCTACACATTTTCTTCAAGGTAAGCTGGAGCAGAATTCTAGCTTTCATTAAACGCTTTAAAATGGATATTACAACTCGAGTTTAGGGCTTCTTGTAGGACTTAAAGTTATTAAATATGCTTATATTAGAGCAGTGTGTTGCATTACTACATCAAATTTATTACTATAATACAGGTGCTGGCCAGTAAATTAGAATATCATCAAAAGGTTGAAAATATTTCAGTAATTCCATTCAAAACGTGAAACTTGTACATTATATTCATGCAATGCACACAGACCAATGTATTTCCGATGTTTATTACGTTTAATTTTGATATTTATAGGTGACAACCAATGAAAACATCAAATCTGGTATCTCAGAAAATTAGAATATTCTCAAGGCCAATGAAAAAATGTTTGTTTCTCTAATGTTGGCCAACTGAAAAGAATGAACATGAAAAGAATGTGCATGTATAGCACTCAATACTTAGTCGGGGCTCCTTTTGCCTCAATAACTGCAGTAATGCGGCGTGGCATGGACTCGATCAGTCTGTGGCACTGCTCAGGTGTTATGAGAGCCCAGGTTGCTCTGATAGTCGTCTTCAGCTCCTCTGCATTGTTGGGTCTAGCGTATTGCATCCTCCGCTTCACAATACCCCATAGATTTTCTATGGGGTTAAGGTCAGGCGAGTTTGCTGGCCAATCAAGGACAGGGATACCATGGTCCTTGAACCAGGTGCTGGTGGTTTTGGCACTGTGTGCAGGTGCCAAGTCCTGTTGAAAGGTAAAGTCTGCATCCCCATAAAGTTGGTCAGCAGCAGGAAGCATGAAGTGCTCTAAAACTTCCTGGTAGACGGCTGCATTGACCCTGGACCTCAGGAAACAGAGTGGGCCAACACCGGCAGATGACATGGCACCCCACACCATCACTGACGGTGGAAACTTTACACTGGACCTCATGCAACGTGGATTCTGTGCTTCTCCGCTCTTCCTCCAGACTCTGGGTCCTTGATTTCCAAAGGAAATGCAGAACTTGCTTTCATCAGAAAACATAACTTTGGACCACTCAGCATCAGTCCAGTCCTTTTTGTCCTTGGCCCAGGCGAGACGCTTCTTGCGCTGTTTCTTGTTCAAGAGTGGCTTGACACACGGAATGCGACACCTGAATCCCATGTCTTTCATGAGTCTCCTCGTGGTGGTTCTTGAAGCGCTGACTCCAGCTGCAGTCCACTCTTTGTGGATCTCCCCCACATTTTTCAATGGGTTTGTCGTCACAATTCTCTGCAGGGTGCGGTTATCCCTAGAGCTTGTACACTTTTTTCTACCACATTTTTTCCGTCCCTTCGCCTGTCTGTTAATGTGCTTGGACACAGAGCTCTGCGAACAGCCAGCTTCTTTAGCAATCACCTTTTGTGTCTTGCCCTCCTTGTGCAAGGTGTCAATGATTGTCTTTTGGACAGCTGTTAAGTCAGAAGTCTTCCCCATGATTGTGGTGCCTTCAAAACAAGACTGAGGGACTTTTTAAAGGCCTTTGCAGGTGTTTTGAGTAAATCAGCTGATTAGAGTGGCAGCAGGTGTCTTCTATATTCAGCCTTTTCAGAATATTCTAATTTTTTGAGATACCAAATTTGGAGTTTTCATTAGTTGTCACTTATGAATATCAAATTTAAATGTAATGAACATTGGAAATACATTGGTCTGTGTGCATTGCATGAATATAATGTACAAGTTTCACGTTTTGAATGGAATTACTGAAATATTTTCAACCTTTTGATGATATTCTAATTTACTGGCCAGCACCTGTATATTATAGTAATGTATGTGGTCTAAATGTGTTCTACAGTGTGTTGGGACTGTCGTGTTCCTGTAATGTAGAACAGTCACGGGTGTTTGTCTTCCTACAAATGCTCAGAAAAATATAAATAGGCTACTTTGTGAATGAGTTAGGACATAATATGTAATATAATATATAATATTATTCAATAATTACCACGAATCGCCAGGGGAAATGTGATTATATTAAATTTTTGTGAGCTGTCCCACCATACGCCGTTCAAACTGACTTACGGCGCTGGGATGTTTGGAACTGAGAGCTCCGTGAACCACGTGACCGCGAGTCGGTGAGTTCAAGGAATGTCGTAACTCTCTCTACAGCTCTGACAGAACCCTGCCCTCCTCTCCCAATGATTGGACAGGAATTCGAGAAACGTAATTGGTAGCTAAGACTCATGCTCTCATTGGTTCCACCCAAGCTCCTCCCACTGACGCAAGAATCGAGACAAAAAGATTTGTAACACTGTAGATTTGAGGTTTGTACCTGTAGAATGAAATGTGTGTTTTGAGAGTTTTGATTTCAAACTTGTACATTGATTTTTTTATTTAGGAAGTCTGCTATGTAAAAACCGAAAGTTTGATGTTTCTGAATGAATGTTTGATGTTACAAAATGAGTAGTAAATGTACAAAATAAAAGTTTGATTTTACAAAATAAAAAATACATGTACAAAATACAACGTTCCTGTTACAAAACAAGAAATACAAGTACAAATCGAGAATTACAAGTTACGAATCTAAAGTTACATGTCATGAAACATGTTCCAAGTTACAAAACTTGGTACAAGTTACATTGAATATTGTCCCAATCCTAGCTCCATACAGCTCTTGCTGGGTAGGTTCGCGGCCGA